AAACAGCACAATGACATTTGTTCTGTTTTCAGTTATGTTGCATGGCTCACCTTGTGTGCTGCAGAATTTGATTCATTTTTTTCAAGTGCCATTTTCGCATACTCAAGGGAGTCATATGTCAGTTGTTTCTTCTCCTCTGCAGAAGTACTGCTGAGCTGAGCCAGATCCCGCGATGCCCGTGCCAGCCGCCATAACAACTCTGCATCATCGCTGGTTAGGAAGAGAAACACTGAGGTTTTAAAGCAATCAGGCAAACAAAGCAAAAAGGAGTCTTTTAAAGTGTATCTCAAGTGGGTGATAGGACAACAGTGAATCATCTGTCATGCTATGTACAACCACAAGGTAACAAACAGCAAATGAAAGGCCACTATTACCGACTGTCTGACAATACCTTTGTTCTACCATTCTGGTCTGCAGACCAAACACATATGCAGGAAAGGTTTTTGTTTTCTCAGAAAAAAGATACAGATTTAACTAACTCCACTGGTACCACTCAAAACACCAGAAAGAAAAGGAGGGCTACTCTCTTATTAGCTAGATGGTATTTTTTCCAGCACTCTGCTGATTTGTATTGATGTTTACTTGGAATACTCAAATCATTATGCATCTTCTTTTTCCTCTAATTGTACTTAAATTATTAAATTCTTCCTAGAAAAAACCCAGAGATTAGCCATACCACCAGCACAGAAACCTGTACCTTTATGTATTTATTTATATCATTTTAACAAATGGTGTATTGTAGGTTACAGTCCAAGCTTAAGGATCTTAAGTTTTACCTTGTTAATATACTGCTATGGAACACTGCATCATTATACTTTAAATAACTACCACTGGCTTACTAATTTAATAGAGACTTTAGAGTCTTTCAGAATTTTGCAGTGTATTTTAAAGGAATCTTAGAGTAACAAAACAACCAACCATGACTGAAAAACTTGAGGGTTAACCCTCACCTTCTACAACTATCAGTTCTCTCTTCATTCATTTTTCCATAAGGAGGAAAAAGATCACAAGTCCTTTCCTACTTACATAAGGGTGAAAAATAGGTTCTCCAGCATTCCACAATGAGAATATTAGTTGAAAAGCAGATACAGAAGAGCACAAAAAAGAAGCCACAGTATTGTACCAAGGCAATGAAGTACCTATTTTTATGCTGCACCAGCAACCGATACAGCTTTTCAGTTTCTCCACTCCCATACAGGTAGTCTGCTTGTTCTATCACATCTTCCACTTGTGAAGGAATTAAAATTGTGGAAACAGAAGAACAAATTATAGTTAATTAAGACATTATCACCAAAATCAAAACATTTCAGAGCAAGACAACCTAGCTGAAAATTATGTAGCTCATTTTTAGGCCATCAAGTCAAACTTACAAGCACAGCAGGATTGATAAGCAACATGTACAATGCACAACGAGGACGACAATTTGTGCCTCTCCAGTGAAACTGCATCAGCTTTCAGCAAGACAGCTTTGATTGCTGGACAGACTTAACATTCCAAGGTGTCTTTCTCATTGAATCAAACTACTAAAAAAAAAGTTATTTTTTAACTTCTGAAAATGGCAGAAAAGAAAAAAAAGTACAGAAAATGGACCAGGACAGCAAGTACAATAGAGAACTGAGAGTAACAAAGCCCTTTCATTCATTAGTGTACACAGAGAATTTAAATCTTACAGTAACAATGAAAAAAACCCCAACTTTTAAAAGTATTCTTCATTTTCAACATGGCTCCGCAGTTTTGCCAGAACATTACTGCAGTTTGAGTGGGTCCCATTATTTACTCACAAGCGAAAACAAAATATTGGTTAAAGTGTTTCTGACTGAAGTCCTTAAAGATTTTCCCAAATACAACCCCAAAAATTACAATTAATCTACTGAAACTCCTGTGTGTTCAAGACACTAATAGCAAAAATAATTTTGAAAATCAGAACTGGCTTTCTATAGTATCAATTTATGAACTAAGTACCATTATTTTTATGATCTTTTCTTTTTCTAGAAAATACTCTGAAACACAACAGTGGTGGGAGAACATAATTTCCCCAACTGGATGAATATAATAATACATAAATATAATATTACATAAATAAATGTAGTACTTGGAACAGCCTACAGGAATCAGAACTATCAAACACCACACTACAGAGGACTGTAGCATGAAAAAAGATGGAATTAGAAGGAAAATAACCCAAAGGGAAGCAGACAGGAATTTTGTTGACATATGTAATATATGTACAGGAGAAGAACAAATTTCAAGTTTACTCTTCTGCCAACATTTAAGCATTAAAAAATTATCTTTGAAGTGAAAAGCTTTGTCTAACTTTTTACAGACTTTTACCTATGCTTATTGTCTCTTTGGTATCACTCCTGGGTCCATGATCAAACTTAGAAGTCAAAACATAAACATGATTAATTTTTATTAAAGGGGTTAGAGCTTATAAGGTTTCCTTTTTCAAGTTACCTCCTAAATATGGTAGCCATGTTTAAAGTCAGTACAGTTTTCTTTACAGAAGAAGTAAAACATTGAAGGATACTGAACACAAAAGTCTGATCTTCAGCTTAAAAAGATCCTAGAGTATAAATCAGTGCATTCTGAGTAATTTTTAACCTTGCTGTCTCAAAATGTCTTCTTTCAACCCTTTCAAATACAAGATAATGGTTTACATGGACTTGGGATTTTAGTGTCCAAAATGAGCTTCATGGTACATCTTCAGTATGATCTTCACTAAACAGTTATGTTTGCTTGCTGACCTGAACACTGCTAACATATCAAATGACTAAATGCTCAGAACTCAAAATCTCTGAATGCATTTCCCACAAGGTGTTTTATGTCGGTTATTATACTTCTGTTACTTTTAGAGTATTTTTCAGGTATTTCTAGTTTACCCTTATTTGCACCATATTTATTACGTATCTGGTATAGAAAGACCATTAGCATTGCTTTTCTTGGCAATGCAAATGTCAGATTCACGGGGGAGCACTGAAAACACCAAAGGGAACTAAGCATTGTTATTTACGTTGCTCATGAGAAATTATGAATTCTTTATTCCTATTACTATTAATCCTTAATTGTATTCTGAGTAGCTATTTCAGATCTACTCACTGATGCTCCTTCTGTTATAGCACAGGAAACAGCTCTTTATCCATTTAAAAATTTATTATCTGAATTTTTATTTCTATCTGCATAAACATCTAAGATGCTCCTTTTTTTGAGACACAGAGAAACAAGTTACCTGAATTGGTTATTACCTCAACTATGCAGCAAGCACACATCCAGTTTAGGCTCTTTCTCCTTTCAGTCAGGCTTACTCTGAAAATCCTTATTTAGACAGAAAAGTTTTAAGCCTGCAACAATATCCCCTTTTAAAGATATTGTTACTGTCCTTCTCACAGTGAGACTACTCTTATTCAAAGTTTATGAAAAAACATTTTCCCGCTTGTTAAATTGTTTTCTAGTAGGTAAAGCAGGCTTTTGCTTCCCCTTTTTTAGTGTTACAGAAACGGAAGATGTTTCTTAATTTCATATGAAGCACTATCTCAGTGTTGCTCAATAAGAGTTAATTAGACTGGGCAACAAAATAGTTATTATCCACCTTGTGTATGTGTTCTATCCCTGACGGGAGGAGCTACTAATCTGCTTTCGGTTACACCTGAAATAATCAACAAATAAGCTGCTGAAGTGCTACAACACCATCCATAACCAATTCAAAAACATTCTATCATGATATGACACTGCATGCAGTCTTAATGGAAAAAAAATCAAAAGCATTACACCATTTTCCTTTATAATTCTGACACTAAAAACTTTCAGTTTCACATCGGAATAACGAAAACACTTCAAAATTTGAAAATATTACCTTTGAAGCTTGCATGAACCTCAGCAAAGCCAGAAATCAGCTTATGAGCTTCATAAACCAAAAAGGACCCGGTTGAAAGCAGAACCCCTCTCTGAAGACTTTTCCTAAGCACCTGTGTAGGATCATACGATAGGTTAATGATTAATGAACGTTAGCACACCGAGTTATAAGAGTGCTTTCTTGTCTGTGTCACTGGTTATATTTCAGATTCTGAGGAAAAAAAACAAAACAAAACAACGACTTTAAAATGTTGAAAAACCCTCATACGACAAAACACCACTTCATCAAGTGGGTATTTGAACCATATTCAACAGAAGCTCACGATTACGCCTGAAAACACGAAGAGAGCACTAGACTGAACATAACCCGTAAGTACGGAGGAAACACAAGGTTAGAAGCGAAACTGAAATCCGTACTGCTCAAAGGAGCCCAGGGCTCGGTTTCCGCACAAACAAACCAGTCCTTCGCTACGCCCCGCGATGCCGGAGCCTCCGCCCGCCTCCCTCATGCCGGCGGAGCAGCTCCGCGGGGGCGAGCGGCGGCCACACCCGTGGGAATCAGAGGGAATTAGGTGGGAACGGGCCTCTGAGACCACCCAATCCAACCTACGAACCCTGCCACGCCAAATACAGCATGGCACCAAGCGCCACGTCCAGTCTTCCCTTAAACACATCCAGGGTCAATGACTCCCCAACGGGCGGCGCAATCCAAGTAGTCCCCGGAAGCGGCTGCGCTCCCCCGCACCGAGCGGCACCCCGACTACCTGAGTCCCCGACCATCCCCGGCCGTAGGGTGCTGCCTCTCGCCGGAGCGCTGTCCCCAGGCCAGCGGGGCCGCGGCGGAAAGGCCGCACCAGCGATGCCATCAGCGCCGCCATCGCCGCCGCCAGTACCGCCCCCCGCCTGCGGAGGAGCCGCTCCGCCCCGCGGCCCTGCCCGGGCTCGGGGGCACACAAGGACAAGGGCCGCCCGCTCGGCCGGCCAGCCCGCCGTGCCGAGGGCCGGACATTGCGCGGCCGGGCCCCGAGCCATGCCGGGCCCGAGCGACCGGAGGGCCGGGCCGCGGCGGAGGGGGGGGCGCACGGGGGCTCTGCGCCTGCGCCCCGGGGCGGGGCGGGCCGGGCCGTGTCCGGCTGCGCGGGTGTGGCCGCCGCGGGTCGGGGTCCGGAGGCGCCGCGCTGCAGGTGAGGGTGGGGCCGGCTGTGCTGCAGGGGCCGCCGTGCCCCGCGGGGTTTGAGCTCTATGGCCCCTCTGCCTCGTGCAGTGGGAGCCGTGCGGGGCTGGGGCGGCCGGGCAGGGCTGCGGGCGGCTGCTCTCCCAGCGCTTCCTCGCGTGAAGCGTCCCCGCAGGTGCGGCCCCGCTTTGTGCGCCGGGACACGGAGCGCGCTGCCAGCGGCCGCTGCTGCGGGGATCGAGGAATCGCTGCCTCTTCCGCCGTCCCGCAGGTAGTGGAATTCGGTGAAGTTAAAGCTGTAGGCCTGAAGGTTCGAGTCCGTAGTGCCGAGATCTGTGGTGGTGTAAATGTCACTCTAAGAAGCATCCTTACCTCTGGGAGAGGAGGCTGTCGAGAGTTAGCGTCGTTCCTGAAAACCACATGCTGTTCTTTCTGAGCTGCTGCTTGAGTGGGTGGTTGTTTTCTTCCTTCGCTGTAGTTGCATAATATATGCAAGAAGAACCTTAGATAATATTCATGTTGTCATAAGTTACTCTTCCACTAGGGAAAACCTGTAAAATGTGAAACTTCTTGACTTTTGCTTACATACTCCTATCTTGAAAGAACATTAGGTATCCTCAAAGTAGTATGTATTGCCCTGCCTCCAACACTTACATTTATTTTCCTGGAGGGTCATGTCCCTGAATATTCGAGTTTAAAATATTTCTGTGGTGGTGCGAAAAGTTTGTTTAGTAAAAGTAAATACAGTCAAACTTAATGTCAGCTATTCTTCTGATTTTTTTTTTTTTCAGTTGGAGCTTTAAATTTTAACTTTATATGTGTATAATCACAGAGGAAAGATGTTTTGAGGTGCATGCAGAACACCAAAAAGCATTAAAAGAAAAAAAATCAGGAAAGATATTCAAGGAGTAAGAGACAGAGGTCTTTTTGTTTATATGTTGTGGTGTTAGAAAGAATGCGGTGTTTTTACAAGTATGTTTGTGGTAAATGTGTTAAAATTAATCTATACAGATTTGTTGTAGGTGACTGCTAGACTAATTTTGGTTCAGCTATTGAAAGCAAAAATCTATTTCTGGTAAGCTAAATAACTAAGCTATTATTAAATGTAATTTGCCAGAATTCCCAAGTAGCAGAATTGGTACCACAATGTTTGTAAAGCCTTCTTTTATGCCAAATGTTTCTCCAGAATTGAATGCTAAAGGAAAGCCATAGTGTTAGGAGTAATAAATAAAACTAAAATCTCAAATCTCAACTGTACACTTATCTGGGATGGATTTTTTTTTTTTTTACCTTAATTTGATTTAGGAAGAAATGCTGTCATTATATGGTTTCCTAAAGAAATTCCTTGAGGGACAAAGTTAAGAAGGAAGATACTTTCTGTTCCTTCCTGTTTATTTTCCTGTGAAAGTCAGGATGCTCTTCTAACATAAGTAATATATGATCAACTCAGTATTTGTAGGTATTAGTTCCTGTTAAACCCAAAATTTGTAGATCAGTTAGGCAAAGATTAATACTGGCCCCTCCTAGCATGACATTTGAATGTGTGGTGTGGCTTGTGCAAGCAAGTAGCCAGGAAGTAGAATTGTGGTGGGTTTTTTTTTCTTTATAATCTTAAGGTCTTTTCCATCAACTCTGTGATTCTGTTTGATTTCTTTGGTTTATCTTTAATATTGCTTTAAATGAGGTGCTTTTGCTCAGACATTTTGAGAGGGCATTATTAAGTGTCTGAAGGATTTATGAATAGAGGACTTTTAGGGCTTGGTTGCTGGATCCAAGATTCTGTTTGAGGACTAGTCTTTACTTATTTCGATCACTTGCTTCGTACTTTGTTCTCTGGTTGAAGGAAGACTATGTCCTGTAGATCCATTCATTCTTGTAGATGGATCAAGTGGACTTTCACTCTGCTTTATCAAAGGCACACTTAGGAGTCAGCTGAATTAGTTCTAGTTGTGGCAGTTTGCTTCTGGTACTTCCCCTGCTCAAAAGGGCTGTTAGAAATTCCTCATGGCAGATAATTAGCATATGTGCAATTATCTGATGGTTCCAGGAATTAGCATGATTGCTCTGTGCCTGTCTTCGGAGCCACTTGGGAGCCTGTGGATATGCAGAGTATGAATGATGCCTCCCAGGCACCGGGAATGCTGAGTGCAAGTAGCTGCTGTGATACAGAGCTGAAGCGCAGCTGACTGGAGAGCTCTTGGTTTGCATACAGGAAATACAGTATTTTAAAATACCTCTGGCTACATTAAGGTGCAGTTTTGTGATTGTTGGTTTCAAGGTGTTGCTATTGTTTATACTGAGATGTTCTGGACCACTGTGAATCTGTGGTCTGTCCACGATTCATGGACTTTTCTTAGTCATCCTTTTGCTGTGTAAGTATGCACAAGTTTGTTAGAGCATAAACAACATTGGGAGCCACTGAGTTTTACCTACTTACTCTTATCCACTGTCACCTTATTGAAAAAAAAATTAATAAATAGGACAAAACCAGTGATGAGGTCTTTGTTCTTAAAAGCTTAAAAAACTTTTCCTGCTAGACTTTTATAATATTAGTATGTATTATTCTCTAATAAAGGCTCTGAGTTTCCCTTGCGTAATCTTAACAGTGCTGCTGTCACAGACACATAAAACTGTTGGGCAGGTTATTTATTTTAAGAGGAACTGTAGCTCCGCAGACCATATGCCTTCAAACCGCTTAGTTTGCTTGATCTATGGGAATAACAATTCTCGGTTTTAATTTCCTTTCATTTCACATTTTAGTGCTACTGTTAGTTGAAGCTTTAGCCTTTTGCTGAGAGGTCCGGAGGCAGACCCCTGCGGTAAGTTACTGTTACTGATTTTTAAGAACTGGTATTTGTAACAGTGAAGAGGCACAACATCACTTGAAACAAACTGTAAAAAGGATTAGTCTAAAGTGTTCACCTGCATCGTGTTTCTGCAGTAAAGTACAGCAAGTTTTAGTGAGATAAAAGTTTTTCTTTCTTGTGGGTAATGTTATTATGTAATCAGTTAGTCAGTGGCTCTACACAGAGAATTGCAATGAAGAGCACACAATTTAAGATATTATTCACGTTGCATAGTTGATAGATTGTTTTACATGAAATAATTGGTATAAAGGTACTCTGATAAAGCATATAAACATATATGCAAGAAACACGTGTTCCTATGGTTTGCTGCTGTATTCTTGAAATAGTTGAATTTTGAAGTCAGGAGGTCTGTATATCTTAATTGTCTTGTTCAAGGCACAATATTACCGTTTATAGTTTAGCTCACTTGAATCAAAACATCACCTAAAATACTTTTTTGTGAGGAAGGTGCTGGGAAGAACCAAGCATTAAAGATGTGCCTAAAGGGCAGACACAAGTATACAGAATTTAAAAAAGAACCCAACAAATAAACAGTAGCAGTATATTTAGAAATAATTGTTTTAAAGTAATTTTGTCAACAGGAGTCTTAGAAATCAAATGAATATTTCCAGTGCAGTGGATTAAAAAAAAAAAAATCTAAACATGTTCTTTGGCAATGTAACTTCATGATAGATTTTTATACACGGAAACAACCTGCATATAGTTGCCTGACGTGTTATACCAGTGTGCTACGAATCCAATAGAGAATCATAAAGCTTGTATAAATAGATGATTCATTTCCCATACAGAAAACTATGCTTCCATTCTCATGTATGCCTATACCTCAGAGTTCTTAAATACTAGCTTTTGTTTTTGATTGGTGTAATCCCCAGTAAAAGGAGCGGTGTGGTCATTAGGGTTTTATCAGCCTCATCTTACTTCAGAATTTAGTTTAGAATACTCTAATTCCTTCCTGCATACTAAATAGTGAATATGGAATCATTTAGGTTGAAAAAGACCTCCAAGATCATCAAGTCCAACCTCTGACCTATCACTGTCTTTTGAACTAGACCACAGCACTAAGTGCCACAATGAGATGCTTCTTGAGCATCTCTGAGGGTGGTGACTCCACTACCTCACTGGGCTCTCCATTTCAATGCTTATCAACACTTTCCATGAAGAAATTCTGCCTAATGTCCAACCTCCCCTGGCAGAGCTTGAGGTTATGTCCTCTTGTCCTGTCACTTGTTGCTTGGGAGGAGGTCAACTCCCTCCTGGCTGCAGCCTCATTCACGGAGTTGTACACAGCAATAAGGTCATACCTGAGCCTCCTTTTCTCCAGGTTTAACACCCCCAGCTGCCTCAGCCATTCAGCATATGACTTATTCTTTAGACCTTTCCCTAGCTCTGTTGCTATTCTCTGGACATATCCTTCCTGAATTGAGGGGGCCAGAAGCGGACACAGGAGTCGAGGTGTGGCCTGACCAGTGCTGAGTGCAGTGGGACAATCACAGCCCTTGTCATGCTGGCCACTCATGTTTTGCTACAAGCCAGGTTACCTTTGGGCTTCTTGGCCATCTAGACACACATTGGTTCGTGTTCAGCCAGCTGTTGACTTTTTCCACTGGGCAGATTTTCAGCCAGTCTTTCCCAAGCCTGTGGTGCTGCATGGAGTTACTGTGACCCAAATGCAGGATGCAGTACTTGGCATTAGTGGATCTCATAAAACTGGCCTTGGCCCATTGGTCCAGCCTGACTCCTCTGCAGAGCCTTCCTACACTCCAAGATAGATAGAGCTATCATTCAAGAAGTGATATCTGTATCCGTATTAGAAGAGAAAGCTTACAGTCAAGGTTTTGTATGGTTCTTCAAATACAGAACGACTCAAGCTGCTTCTGGTACTTAGCTTGCCAACACATCAGCTGGATGATTTTTCTTGTAAAAATCTTTCTTGTAAAAAGCTGCTTGTAAACAAACTGAAAAGAGGAGCCAGAATTTTGATTTGGAGGTAGCATTTTTAGGGAGGCTGTTTTTTGGGGATTTTTTCAAATGGAGTGATGAGATGAGGTTGGGAAAGTCTTAGTTTTTGTAACTTTGAATGAAATGTCTGTTTCCTGTGAGGTAATCTGTAAATGTATATTTGTATGCATGTAGCCCAAGATCACTAGCAATTGTGTTGCTACCAGCCCTGTCAGTGAGAAGAAGCATCTATTTGTCATAATTTCGTTGCCAGCTTCTTGCAGCAGACATGGCATTTTCTGCCTTTTTCAGTCTGGCACATAGCTGATATAAAATGCTTAAGTGTACCATTCTGGCAAGAAGATTAGCTGATCAGGAATAGATTTCATTAGCAAGCTTCTCGTAGCCTTTCTGTGTTCATTTGGGCCCTGAGATATCTAAAAATTATGGATTTTTAGTCTATTGCCATTAGCAGTTCACAGGAACTAGGAAATGTTCAACGTCAGAAATAATTTCCATCAGAACAGGTTTGAGACTTGTGACTAAAGGCAGTGATGCCAAATCTGCTTCATTAGTCTTTTTGTCTTTTAGTTGGGTATTTGTGCTTGTCAGACTGGATGCATCTATAATTGGGAACATGTCATTGTAATACTCTGCAAGGTTATCTGGGCAAGCCAGTACTGTCCTCTGACAATGCAGCCTGGAGAGGATTGCTGCAGACTAGCGGTTCCCAACTGTGCTGTTAGATCATTCTGATAATAGATCTGTTCCTTTCCAGGTAGAATGCCATGTTTGCAGTTTCTATTGGAAAACAGACAATGACTCAGTTGTTTGATGTGTACCACTTATCTTCATTAGAATCATCACTGGAGTTCAAAGAACATTCTGATCTCTAAACTGCAAGACAAGACTAGTCCTTGACTTAGATTTTTGCTTTGATATTTACAGCTCAAGCAGAAAGACTTGTCATATTCTTAGTTGACCTAATCATGCTCCTGAGCAGCCTAGACATGGCAGAGGATCCCTTGTGACTGTACATCACTGCAGTTCAGATACATGTTATATATAATAATCTTCAGTCTTTTCCTGTCCAACATTTTTTTTTAAAGCCTGATGTACTTCTGCAATCATAAAAGCTTTTTAGACAAAAAGGATGACTGAGCTATCACCTGGACAAATTCTGGTGTGCTTTGCCTCCCTTTATGCTACCCTACATGGAGGGCAGGTTGATAGCTTGAGAAAAACAAAGGTTTTAATTAAATATGACCAATGTGGAGCACGGCTACTTTAGTAACACTAAGTAATTAAATAAGTAAATATCTTGTTATGTGTTGTAATTTACTGGCTGTCAAGGCTTATCCTACCACAGCCTGAACAATATAATCTGTCCATGTAAAGTTATTCCAGAATTCCTAATGTTTAAGTAATCTGGTCATGTATCTAGAATATTTTACATTTGATTTGCCTACTGGATGTGTTGTAGAATGGTATTTCAAGAGGGAATGCATTAGTGCAGCCATGATTTATTTTCGCCATCCTGAAAAGACAGCAATTTGCCAGACTCTGCATTGCATCAAGTCCTCAAGAACAGGTTGCTTGCTTACCTGGCAGTGAGTGATCTTTGGGGATGTTTATCAGCTTTAGAAACCTTAACATCCACCTCTGAAACTGTGGGAACTTTTCAGCTAACGCGCTTTTAGAAGTGAGGAGAATTGGGTGAAGCTGGAGTAATTCTTCCTTTCACGCATTTGGGATGGCGAGGATTTGTGCAGCTTGAGCAGAGCTCCAGCAGGGAGCGCTGTTTGAAACACTCCTGGCCTCACACACCTGCGGCATATGCGCCCTCTGCAAATCCTTAAGGCTTGCAGTGTTGTAAAAAAAGTATCTCTTGTTTATTTACTGTTTCACTACCTTAAATTGATTGCATTGGATTAATGAGACATGACTTTTTCTTGTTAATAAGTGTTTTTCTAACTTTTAATGTTTATAATGTTACTGAAAATCAGTATAACTATTTGCAGTAAAAGATATCAGTCTTACAGAGAAACGTATTTTTGAGTAAAATAGCAAAATTATTCCTTGAAATACATTAGTAATACAGACCTCTTCAACCTATTATGCAAATATAGATTCCTAATATTCTCAAAACTTCTGAGAAAAATGCCTTATATTGTTTTTCATCTTGGATTTTCATCTGGAAAAGGTAGAGATTAAAGGACCATATTGTAGTTTGTGAGGTCTTGCTCTTTATGTCGATTTTGAGTGTCCTACACTTAAATAAATGCATGTTTTTTGTACAATATGGACACAGTTGTTGCATCTCAAATGAGCATTTGCATTTCAGGAAAGGGAATCAGCATTTTTATTCTTCCCTTCTCTATGTTAAAGGATGTTTTTTGCATGGCACTGTTTCTTAGTCTGCTCTTTTACTGGATTAGATGATTAGTGGAGAGTTGGTGACATGGAGGAGAGGAAGTAACAAAATTGATGTGTTCATGTGACCAAGTACTTGAAATGTGCAAGAAGTATGAGTACACACATAGCCAAAAAAAGGAAAAAACTGACTATATTTTTAGGGTGACTGGATGCTATCTATTTGCCAGTGATTTTGGAACTATGGCCTTAACAAAAGATTTGGGTGCTTTCAAGGACTCTTGATAATGAGGAGTTTCAGACAAGTTGAAGGAAGAAAATTTTGACTGGTTTGAAAATGCATCTCAATTCAAGTTTAAATTCTGTTTAGTTTCATGCAAACCCTTTCTACTTGCTGTTGCAGCATTAGTGGGAGCTAGAGCATCATTTTGTCAGCAGAAAGTTGTTTCTCTGGAAACTGTCATTAAGGAGTCATGTACTGGTCTGCACTGGATTTTGTGGGAAGGGCAGTGACTGTTAATGAGCTCGGTCTGGCAGCCAGGAAAGCAATAGGGAATGGAAAATACCAGTATAGAAAGAGAACTAGGAAAAAGGGGCAGACTGCTTTTAAGAGGTATTCTTTCTAAGCCTAAAAACCATTGGTTTAAAAACTATTTTAATACTTAGACCTTCACTCTTTTCCCCTCAAGGACAATGAATTAAACTTTATAAAGTCATGGGAACCAAAAGATACTCAAAGAAGAAATCGCATTTAGGTGTTTGGGAGGTGCATGAGAATTTCTATGAATCTGACATGCTTCTTAAAATATATACATGGATATTTGAGTGTTTCTTTTACAGATATGTACTCAGTCTCTAAAAGGTCCATCACTGAGATAGCAAAATGGAGATGAGGCAGCGTGTGAATTATGCCCTAGTGGAATACAAGAAGCCTTGGGAAAATTTCCTCAGACTCCATAATGTTTTCTTTCTCCTATTTTCAGTTTGTTCTTTGTCTTTTCCATGTTCCTTTCCCCTTTTGTCTCTAAAAAATCATTCATTTTCATGAAAAGTCTCATGAATACAGTGAAAGGAAAAGAGCTGGCTTGGGTCAAGTAGTTTCATATTCAAGTATGAATGCAAATGTTGCTAGTGAACTGACCAGATAGAAGCAGATGCCTTTCCTCCTGCCTTATTCTCTTTGGTTTCTCATGCACTTTTAAGATAAATTAATCCAGAAGGATACTTGGTCTAGACTGTGTGTTTACTGGAGAGAGGGCAAACATGAAACTGAAGAGGCTTGGGAGCTTCCAAGGTAGGCTGCTTGTGGAAAGATTTGAGTGTCTTAGTCTCTGAGTCAAGGACGATTGTACTGTAGAGGTTTATTTCCCCAAGAGTTGTTGGGAATTACCAACTCTATCCTTGAAGTGTAAAATTAGGGAGATTTTTTTAACATATATATATATAGAAAATAATCTGGTGCTCAGACCTTTATGGGCTTGTTGTGCCAGTGTGGAATTCATAACTGATAATCAAGTCGTTTCTGCATGTTTGTAATATCTGCTAGTCTTAGTGGACATTGTCCAGTGGACAATGATGGAGGTACTTAAAGAGAAAATGTAAGGATGCTTGCAGTTATTCTTTTTTTGAAACTGCATCTTCAGAAAGAGCAGTTCCCCCCAATTCAGTTATTCAGTTATTACTTGACTTTGAAGTATTTATCCTTATTATTAAAATTTGTAGTTGTTTTTTGTAGGCTTACTAAAGCAAGATCACCTGTTACCTGCTTAAACAGCTTTTCCAATTTTGCCATGCATATGGTTTCAGCATTTTGTTACAAAGGTTTGGTAGAGGAGTATGTAATATAATGTGTTTTCCTTACTCGTGGAATTATTAATAATATCTACATTATAAGATACTGGCATTCATGTAGGCTTTTGGATTTCATTTAAAGCTTGTGAAGTTTTATTGTCAGCAGTTCAAACCACTGTGCCTTCTTTGAGGTATATCCCATTTTTCATTTGATTTCTCAAGCGTTCTCAGAAACCTGATCTTGTTTTTTATGTGCAGATTTTGAAATTAATTTTTATACCTGTGTGGAAAAGACAAGAGTGTGACAGTAAAATGCTATAATGTTGGTACATCATAAATTGCAAAATTTGCATTTGTAACCTCAAATCATCACTTTTGACAAGCTAACACTTCTTGTGATTGGTTAGAGAGTTAATGTATTGTGATAATCCTATTGTTTGCTTTTTTAAGTCCATTTTAATGATGATTTCTGTTGCTGCTTTCTAGTGTAACCAATGGCAGCACAGTGTGTGACAAAGGTGGAGCTGACTATTTCTTGCACCAATCTCTTGGATAAAGATGTTGGTTCCAAGTCAGACCCTCTGTGTGTGCTTCTCCAGAACTCAAGTGGTCAGCAGTGGTATGAGGTACAGCCTGATGCTTCTCTCAAACCTGCTAAAAACACATTCTGCCTCGTTGGATCTTTTAAAATACTATAACTTATGGTTTCACTAAAATATTTTAATTTTGTACCAGCACTTTTGAATAGTTTTTGTTAGATTATATCTCTAATAGTGTAGTGCGTTTGGATTTTTCCCTTACCTAAAAACCAAGCTATGTCAAACCACAACAAATTGTTACCTGGGCAGTATACTCAGAATCATTTGCTGTTAAATACAGCTGTCTGATTTTTAGCACTCTTCCCCAGCCATATGTGGACCAACAGAAGAAGCCTTCTAAGTGCTTAAATGTGTTTTTATAAGTACAGTACTCCAAAACTAGGGTCTCATCCTGGATTTGACAATACAAGATTTTTTGTTGGTCTTCCCTGTGCAGGAATAGGTCCTACCTTAGAGGGAGTGATGAAATATAGGTCAAGTATCCCAAACTTGGAGCAGTGGGTTTTGAAATACATATAACATAATAAAATATTTTGTAATATAACGTATATTTGGTGAAAGGTTTCTAGGAAGATACTCCTTTGTACTTTAAGAACTTGTAATAATATGGCATTTGATTTGCTTGCTTGTTTAGTTTTTGAAATACCAGATAAAGTGATATCTTTCTAATTTCAGGTTGATCGTACAGAAAGAGTTAAGAATTCCTTGAACCCAAGGTTTGCCAAGAAATTCTTAATTGATTATTATTTTGAGCTTGTACAGAAACTTAAATTTGGAATATATGACATTGATAACAAAACCTATGATCTGAGTGATGATGACTTCTTAGGAGAATTTGAGTGTACTCTGGGACAGGTAAGCATGCAGATGATTTTCCTTAGAATTAAGTTACTGGAAATTATTAGCCACTTTTACTTGGAATTTATCACTATGTTCTTCTGTAGTTGGAGTACTCTTAAGTTGGAATAGGATGTCCTTCATTTGTTTTTTCAAGTCTCAGTTCAGTGTATATACATTTTATTTGCAAAAGGTCTTGAGATGATACCCTGAAATGTGCTCTAGGATGGTGACTGTTGGATTGCTATCTAAAAGAGGACTGTCAGTGAGCACAAAGTTGTACTTTGCTATTTATTTACTCTAATACTCAAATTCCTATTTTTATGATCCCAAAAAAAGAGAATCAGTGTAGAGCAACATGTGAGTGCTCACAAGGGCTGTGTTATCCTTGTAATCTGCTTTCCACTCAATGCAAACAATGATCCTAGTTCTGCCAGCTGTAGATTTATGACTATTTCCCACTCCTATTCTGCTATTGATGCTGTCACAATGAGGCAGCTTCTTTTTAAGTTGTCCTTTTGAATAGATCCTTCAAAGGCACTTCTCAGAAGAGCTGTCTTGGGATTTTTTCTGCCCTGTGTCTTAAGTATTTTTATTTTAAGTGTGTTATAAGGATAGAGGCAATGTGAACTGAAATTTATTGTCAATTAAAAATTAATCATTCATTCTTAAGGTAAAGAAGGACCTTTAGAATGAATAGACACACTTCTGAGGAAGCATTGCCTGAACAGGGTGAAATAAAATCAGCTGGAAACTGTGCAAGGGAAGGCTGATGATTTTTTTGAGTGACAGACATTGTGCTTATAAATTTATTAGCTGAATCAATTTATGAAATATGCCTTGCATTCATTTTAAAGGTAACTTAAAGAACAGTTTGAAATTGGAACCTAAGGTATTATCTTTATCCATGAATATATATCATGTTATTAGAAGACATTTTAATTCTTACTATTCCTGAAGCTCTGCATGTTTTCATCTGCATATATGTTTTAAAATATTGAATTTTCTATTATAATAGAATTTTTAAAAATAATTTATATTTATTTATAGAAACTCATGACAACTAAATGTAATGCTGTCATCTTCACAAAAAGAGAAGTTACTAAAATGAAAATACCTCACTAACTCATTTAATTCCTTTGAAAATCTATTGAATTGTGTTAATAGTGCTTGATACTCAATTTTTTTTTTTTGGCAGATAGTTTCTAGCAGGAGTCTAACAAAACCGTTAGTACTTAAAAATGGCAAACCTGCTGGAAGAGGAAGCATTACGGTAAGACAGTTAAGAAATAAATGTCTTCAGGGTTCATCCCTATTTGTTTCTGTGTTTTATTTTTAGTTAGTGACTTGAATGCAGTGAGTCTGTTCTATAGTGCTGTAAAGCATATTTTTTTTCTCCACTAATCTATCTTTGTCATCTGAGAGCAACCCACCTGCTGTATTATAAGTCCCATTGCATACACCATTCGGGCATCCAATGGGCTACTGCTTGGGGCATATCTTTGTCAGTGCCTTCATTTATGGTAAATAGATGGAATGGAATCCCAATGTCAAATCAAATTTTTCCTCTCTTCCTCCTTCTCCCCCCACCTTTTTTTATGCTTCATTTGTGAGAAAACATGGCAACTTTTTAATGGACCTGTCATAGGAATGCTGTGAGTATGAGAAAACTGAATAAAAACTAAGTATGTTGTTTGCCTCCCTAGATTACAGCAGAAGAAGTAAAGGATAACAGGGTGGTTGTATTCGAAATAGAAGCAAGGAAACTGGACAATAAGGTATTTATGTGATTGCTGTTTTTTGATGAGGTAGTAAAATCAGAATCTTGTCAAAGTGTGAAACATTTGGGTATTCATTCTCATTTTTGCTTAAAAAATGAAATCTAATAATATTTTACTTAGATTAAAAAAGAAGTTGAAGTAAGATTGCTTCAGAGTAACTTCATTTACTCTTTTGAAATTAATTGTAATATATTTCTAAGTAAGATAAATAATGCCTTTTATCGGTATTCCATGAGCAACATGTTCCCATTTAAATGTAAATCCTTACATTTATTCATAAATAAAAGGGATTTTTGGTATATCCATTGATTTCAATGGCTATATAAATGGTTGCCCATTACCTCTCAAAAATTAATGGTGAAAAGTGTAGCTGTTGTATATGAATTAGTTATGTTGAATAGTGGGCTGGCTATAGAGAGACTTTTAAAAACAAAATTAGAAAAATAATAGAAGAATGTTTTTATTTTTACCTTTTGATTTAATTATACTTTTTTTTGAACTGGAGGAAGTCCTTAGTTTCCTATCTCTCCATTGTAATAGTTATTGGTATAAATATTTTGCTTGAGCTGTCAGGTATTTGATATGTGGGCATTTTTCTCCTAAATTGAAGGACATTCTCTACTTTCTTTTCCTCTTTCACAGGTGGTAATATAATCGGACTTGCATTTCATCATCTAAAGCTTTTGTTCCCTTAATTTACATTTTGTTAATTTAAGTGTGTGTTAACTAGAATTTAATGGTATTCGCACTACAGGCTGTTCTGAGATAATTGCATTTATTTAAATACAGGATTTTTTTGGAAAGTCAGATCCTTATCTGGAATTCCACAAGCAGACTGGAGATGGAAACTGGGTGATGGTTCACAGAACAGAGGTAAGATATTTTCAGTTAACAACAAAGAGGTTGAGGTTATTTAATTTCCACTGTGTCACAAAACTAGAGATACAATGCCTTACAAAAAGAATTGACTGGCCTGGAGCTGACATGCAGAGTAGTTAGAAATTGCATCATCTCTTCCACTGACTTCTCTGGGAAATCTTCCTTACTCTCTTTATGCTGATTTTGATATATGCCATTCTATTTGGAAAGAAAACCCTTTTTTTTTTTTTTCTTTAGCTTTCAGCAATCTAGGAGAAAACAAATATTTTGTAAAAGAGCTGCATACTCATACAGGGACATTTGCTCAGTTCTACCCAGTGCTGGGGTAGGACTTGTACATTCCTGACGCTGCTATTCTTAGGAAGGTGTCACCTGGCTGTACCCTTTCCTAATGAAAGTAATGATGCTGAATGCTTGCATAGCAAGGGCAAACCAAGGAGAATGCAGAGTGAGGGAAAATGTGCTTGAGCAGCAGCAGCCTTTCACCCAGGAGGAGGTATAGGGGTCCTGTGACAGCAACTGACAGGCCAAGAGTAATTTCAGAATATCTCACTGTAGTGGCAGCTGAGGGCTCAGTTACAGCTGAGGTGCTGTGCCCCTAGGAAGTGGTGACTGTATTCATTTTGAAGTATGGATATTGAAGAACTATAAATCCTTTTTGTCAGATGTATTGTTTCTCTCATGAGGTGGTTCTTCTGCTTAAGGTGCATCTTTTCTATGATGATTTCAGTCATGAACTTCAGTAATAAATTCAGAATTTGTTGTTTCAGCCTAGAAATGTCTGGTGGATTACAGGTTCAAAAAAACACTCTTTTTTCTAAGTGCTGTTTTTATTGATTTAATTTTAAAGAGAGATTTCTTTCTCAGCACTCCTACAGTGTTGGAAGTATTACTGTTTTTAGGTGTTATTAATTAAGTAGTGCATGTTATGTGTAGTTTCTTGTACTTTTGTAAGATCATTATGTGGTGTATTGGGTATGTTTAGGATAACAGTTGACAAATTTTGAAGATCTTTCAGTACTATTTGTAAATGACACTTTAATGTTGAGCTTGGGAGGTCTTTTATCCTCATACACTGTTTTTACTTTACTACACTGTGAATTTCTTGAGGGCATGTTTCCATAAATGACATTTCAGAATAAGTAATATGTGGGAGCGAATTGTGATCTCTGGAGCACTGATGTATTCAGAAATTCCAATGTAATATTTTTCCACACATTTTCGGTAACTCATGCCTTTATATATGTGTGTATGTATGTATGTGTGCTTATTAAAAAAAAAACATCGAGTATCTTACTTATTTAAGGATAAATTTAATTTTTTGCATTGCAGTAGCTGAAGGATAAAGTAGGTGACAGTGAGGTATAGCAAAATATGGAGCTGAAAGAGACCATCTCTTTTTGAACAGCAGCATGTTGAGTAGTTTGATTTATATCCTATATTTGGAGTGCATTAGACAGCAACCTTGCATACAAAAATCATGAAAGTATGACCCATTATGATGACTACTTTCCACCCTTGTGAACAATGGTGCTCTGTCTTTTTTTTTTTTCTACAGGTTATTAAAAACAACCTGAATCCTGTTTGGAGGCCCTTTAAAATCTCTCTCAATTCTCTGTGTTACAGTGACATGGATAAGTCAATCAAGGTAATGTATATTAAATGTGTATATAAATTAATGCATTAAAAGTTAAAATATGTAACAAGGGGGAGATGTGTTATTCTAGTTACTGCAGGTTTTTTGTTTCAAATTTAATGAAAGTATTAAGTTTCTTATTTGATAGGCACAGATATGCATGCATGTTTTAGGGGAAGAAAGGAAAGTACTGCACATTTGTGATGCATTGTATGGTAGAAGTTGGTCTTTGAAAGTCTGGGACACCAGTTGAACATAAGTATCTTTGAAATGTCCAGTGCAGTTTCTTATTTTGATTGTACAGTTCTAGCATGGCATCAGCCAATACTGGTGGTGTTAAAGTACAGTGAAAGAAGCATGTTAAAGGCTAAAAGATGCTTTGTTCTATGTGATGGATCTGGTGAAACAGGTAACATTAATGAAATTTTTAATGTGTACTGACTGGTAAAATTAATTACACTTAATATACTACCTAACAGATGTGGGTCAGATACAGCTTGTGAATACCAGTTTTAGCAACTTTTCCTCTTCATATAAAATTGAATTTTCTGTCAGAAACAGAAACCTGTGAAGTGGTAGTTCTACCAGGACTTCAATGTTTTCTATTTTCTAATTTTATCTTGAATAAATTGTGTTTAACTTCTGAAGATTTTTCTTCAGTAATTCCCTTTAGGGGTGGAACTGAAGCTAAGCAGCCAATCAAAATGCCATTTATAAGCTATTATGATCATGTTAGAAATCTAGTATCTTAACATTTGAAAAAGAACCCTGAAAACCTGAATGCAGCAAACTGCTATATTTGGTGTTCTTCATCTGGGAAGGAAAACTTAGAACATGATTTGCATTTAATGGGTATTAGTCATATGACTTGAGGCAGTCCTGGAAAATCCTTAACAGCCACAGGGATCTGGGTGTTACCAGCACCTGGATGGATTTAAATACATATTTATAGAGGAGACTAATGAACAACTTTACAAGCCTAGAACCTTCTTCCCTTACTGCTTCTTCTATGTTTTTTCCGTCTCAATCCTTTTTACTTCCCTTTTCCCAAAAGGAGCTGTGACGGCTCTTATATCTCCATATGCTATAAATTTATTTCTCCTTTTCAGTAAACAGCCATACTAAAGCTATAGACCATTGATCTAAATGTATCTATGAAGAGTTTTTCTCAGCTCCATCATCATTTTAATTAAGTATGTTCTTTGAAATCTTACCTCAAAAATGTAGATTTATATCCAGAGGAAATAGACTTGACTTGGAATAGTTATAGACTTGCAGACAGGCAGTTTGATTATGCTGTAACTTAGAAATGCAGAACCTATCACTTCAAACATTAAAATGTAGGCAGAATTGTATTATGGAATGTTATTAAAGGATTAAACAATGCATTTAACACTTTTATATGCACACGGTTGCATGTGTAATGGGCTGTTTGTCATAGTAAGTAACCAGCAATTTTTCTATGAGTGGCTTTTCACTTCTTTAGTGGCTTAGTTTGTGTATGCCCAGCAGTGCACAAACCAAGTTGAATCTTTATCTTATGGATTCATGGTTATGTTCCATGTGAGTGTGTTTGCAGTCAGTGAAGGTTTTCTGTGTCACAAATTTGAGCCTTTCATCTTGAGCAGGCATGCCTAGTTCTGCTGGGAAAAATATGTTAAATCACATTGTTCCCTACTGCTGTTGCATGTCCAGGAGGGCATGCAATAGCAGTAGGGAGTAAAAGGAAATGCTTCTCTCTTGCTTGGAATAAATATTAAAAATCGTCTTAAATGGGTCAAATATGTCAAGCAAGACGAATTTTGATGTCTTTGAAATAAAAGGAAATTCATCTACTACCTGTGCTGACAGGTTGTAAGAACTATTGAGAGTCAAGAAATAATGTTCAGTTTTAAATTTCAGCTACTGAAGCACTTGGCTGAGTATTTGATTGGCATAATTTATGGTATTCAAAAGAGTTTACATAGCATCTGCCATGAACATTGATTAGCCTGTTGGTTCTTTGGCTGCTTGCATGATTTAAGGTGCTGCTCAGTGCATGTGCATGCATTTTTAATTTATTAGTGAATTTAAAATGTTGTAGTAGTGCCAACTGCAAGATAGAGGCATGTTCTGTGCAGTAGAACTCCCAATTTACACATCATGTTTTGTACTTCAACATTCCTGTTTGTTTTCAGAAACCTCATTTCTTTCAGAAGCTCAAGTGTATGTTAAAATTGTTTGTTTTGCTTTTTTATTTCTAACTGAAATGCTCAAGTAATCAGATAAATTGATTCTTGAATATAAGATACAATATTTTTAGACTTGAAAGATGGGCATGCAAATAGCTGTTCAGTTTAAGCCATACATACTTTGAACATTTTTCTTGAAGTTTGCATTTTAATGTGATACCTACTTGACTCTTGATTTATTATTTTTTCTATTTATCATCTTAATTATTAAATTATTTAGTGTGTTTTAATGTGATTTGATTAAGTTAGCTATCATGTCTGTGTTGCTGAACTGAACTAAAATATCAGAAGTGGATGAAATGAACATAAGCTTTTATAAATAAATAACCAGCTTTTTATATAGAAAGGTAATTTGGTCATGTTTTCAAAAAGAAGAAAAAAAGTGTTTTTCACTGCTGCCTTCTTTGGTAGATTGGGCTATTAAAAGGGTGCATTGATTAAATAATAAAGCTTATTTTTGAAGTGTCACTATAGAAAAAGTGATTTTTAGTTGATATTCTGATCCATGAAGTGTAGATCATAGTTTAACAGATCCACTGTTTAAATTTGTTAATCTTACAAAACAAAACTTCAAATATTGTTTCTAGCTTTAGGGCTGAACCTTCATATGCTTACAAATTCTGTGTTATTTTGAGGATTAATGAAGTAGTCTAAAAGTGTTGCTAAAACTCTTGTGATTGCTTGCATAACTGATTTACTAAATTTTTGTCTGGATGCTCAGATTCATGATGAATGTAAAAACCCTACATTTTTTTCCTACTCTTCCCAACACCCCATCACTCTCAAAACATAGTTCAATATAATTGATGTTACTTGCTTATGTAACACCTGACACTACTTAAGTATTCTCATCTCTCCTTCACTTGAGTGGAAGATGAGATTCAAAACTGAGTGTATTGGCTTCTACCCAATCTTAATGTGTTTTAAGTGCAGTTCTAAGACTTCAATGTGAGAAAAACTCTGATATAGAAGATACAGGAATGCTTGGGATGTTCAGGTTTGTCATTTGCAGTGTTTATTGTTATTTGTATATGCTTTTTGTATATGCTTTTTGCCATTTCTATTACTAACACTAAGTAATGCTGCATTTTAGGTTGAATGCTATGACTATGATAGTGATGGGTCTCATGATCTCATAGGAAGTTTTCAAACGACAATGTCAAAGCTGAAGGAAGCATCTCGGTCGTCACCTGTAAGTGTTACAGAGTCTAAGCTGCCTGTGTGTTCTTGATTAGCTGTTTTACTCATGCTGAAGCAAAACCTAGGTCACCTGGCCTCAGGTGACCTCCACGTTGTGTTAGGCTACACTTTGACTTTGCTGTTGGAATTGAGGCTGAAACACTGAATGTCCATTTTCCTAGGATTAATGTCTTGGTTGCAGTTTTTATTATTACGTACATAAATGCCCCACCATCAGCACAAAAATATTTCACTAAGCATAAAAATACAGAAATTAAAAAAACCTGGATTGTCAAAAGACAGAATGCAGCACCGATTTAACTACAGTTAAAAGACCAAGGCTTGTATTTTTTCTAGCATTACTTAATCCTTTGTGGCACTTATTAACTATTATGTATACTTTAATGAGTATGAGAAAAATCAGTATTAATGCCATTGCACAAAAATGCAGCTGTGTTACATTAGGTGGCTTTTTTCTAAAGCAATGTTATCCTTCCTGATCTTACAAACTATAACAATTTCCAAACCTTTTAATATTGCATGCTTGTACTTTTCTAATATTTTGAATGCTGTATAATAAAAATAATAAAAATTGAAGCCACACCTTCTGGAAACACTGATGCTTTGTTTGACTTGCTATGTCTTTACCAAAAAGAAAGTTGTTAGCAGAATCCTCAGAGTGAGAATGGTACGAATTTCTTTGTTTATTTGAAATACAGTTGTCAAAACAAATATATTTGTAGCCTTTTGGGTAAAAGAGGATTTCTGTCTTGAGAATGTGGGGTGTTTTCTTGCTGACATTGGGCAGGCTGTGTTTAATTTTGCTGGATTATGAAATGAACTCTATTTTTAATTTAAGCTCAAAGTAACAGTTCTGAAATAAGGTATTATTATACTTGTTACATAAATGATATTATAGTATTCTTATTGGATTTACTTGCATTCATGCAGATTGAGTTTGAGTGCATCAATGAAAAGAAAAGACAGAAGAAAAAGAACTATAAAAACTCTGGCATTGTGAGCGTTAAGCATTGTGAGGTCAGTAACATATTCTGATATGATTCTGGTTTTAAGTGTTCACATTCTCATTTCGTATATCACCATCTTCAAACTGTAAGAAACTTTAAAATGTCTGAAAGTTTCAGACATTGTAAATATACAAGGGACTCTGATTCATATAAGGAGACAAATAGAGCTGAATTACATACCTGTCCCTTCATTTTCTCTTGAAGAGAAAGGTCACTTACCAGTTTATAAAGTCATTCCTGAACCACTGCATTTCCCAACTCACTGTTTTATGGCAAAGTAAAATTGTGTAACTGTCATAATGTGTTATTTTATAAATGAGAGTCCTTTTGGAGCTGCTTTGATATCTGTCTGTAGCTTTGTTAAAGGCCTGATTCTGATGTGCTGAGTGCGTGGTGGCACGTGTTGCAAATATCCTCATTGCAGTGAGTGAGTGGAATAGCTAAAGGGCAAAACAAGTGCTTTTCATGGGTAAAGCCAATGAATCTGGAACCTTAGAAATTGCTACAATAATATTAGCTGCGTTTTTCCCATTGAAAAAAACCAAAATTTCTATCTTCTATTTTTAGATCATTGTAGAATGCACATTCCTTGATTACATCATGGGTGGATGTCAGCTGAATTTTACTGTAAGTTAAATCATTCATATGAATGCTTTTTGAGTTTTGGAACAAATTCAAGCATAGAGTTGATTGGCTGTGTGCTTTATTTGATTATTTTATTTTGTTTTCTTGTTGGCTTCTTTTTTATTCTATAGCATTGAACAGGAAGCTATTTTGCCAGAGCACTTCTAGTCTGTTTAGAAAAAAAAAATGGTCTTTTACTCCTGGCAAAAGGTTCTGAACCTCTGGTTATGTTCATTAGGAACTAGCTAAGTTATGTGGAGGGAGACCAAAGGGAAATGTACAGTTCTTTGAAAGCAACATGCAGAGGTCATCATATGGATTAGAACGCTTAAGTTATGTAATTTGTGAACCAAATGCAGCACAAAAAACAGTGAGATGTCTTCACGTTAGTAGCATGCTTCATCACTAAGGTGAAGGAAGACCTGTTGAAGTCAGAGAAGCAACTGTCTAGGCTTCTGTGGAGTCTGGCTAGTTGTACTTCTGAGAACAAAGGTGTGTGTGGCAAGATACAGAATGAAATTAATTTGCCAGATTTTGAAGAGTTGCTGTGAATAATAATTGAAAATAAACACAGCAAAAACCTGACAGCATGCCCTGTGAAGCTGTAGGTGCCTCATCTCTGGAAGTATTCAAGGCCAAGTTGGATGGGACTTGGAGCAACCTGGTCTTGTGAAAGCTGTCCCTGCCCATGGCAGGGGCATTGGAACTAGGTGATCTTTAAGGCCTCTTCCAAGCCAAACTATTCTGTGATTCAGATGAAGGTAATTTCAGCACTTCTGGAGAAATGCAGAGATTTTGAGGGTTTTGTAGAGCCATTGTTTAAAGAGTGTTAATACTCCAACCCGCATCTAAGTACTGTGCCTGTTAGATTTGTAGATGTCCTCTTTACTACTCTTTCATAGTTTTCACTTTGGCTTTCCCAGAAATAGGAAGCACAATTTAACCTTTAAGAGCAATCAGATATAAATACTGCATTTGACAGGTGGGGATAGATTTTACAGGCTCCAATGGAGACCCTCGCTCTCCGGACTCTCTGCATTACCTCAGCCCTAATGGAGTTAATGAATACCTAACAGCCATTTGGTCTGTCGGGATGGTCATTCAGGATTATGATACGTAAGTGTTAGATTTTTATTTAGATCATTTTTTTAGATATGTATAGATATTTGTGGTAGTTTTTTTTAAACTGGTGTTGAAGATGCCTACAGACATACTGGAATGAAATTTCTGAGCTAAGTTATAGAATTAAAACACCAGCGCATAATTGCAAGTATAAGCTTGTGTTTACTGCAGACAAGCAGGGTTTTTCATATGTTATGAAAAGAGCAGCGTTGATTTAAATAAATGCATTCTTGCCAATTTGGTGTTAAAGACTGGTTTAGGTCCTAGAAACAAATACAGTGGGGAGCTTCCACTTAATTTTGCCTCTAAAATAGCATTTTTAGTGATGAAAAGCAGCACTAATAACTAAACTTACTAAACTATGGCAGCTTTTAATGGAAGGCACTGACTTTGTTTTCTTTAAAATTGCTTCTTTAGAGATAAGATGTTTCCAGCCTTTGGATTTGGTGCACAAATTCCTCCATCCTTTCAGGTAATGGAATGTGTAAATGCACTGCCTAGGACAGCTGAAAGCACTTACTTCAGGAGATATCTGAAGTTCTGACTATGTCTTCTGTGTCTTCACAGGTATCTCATGAGTTCCCAATAAATTTTAACCCGTCAAACCCATTCTGTAATGGTAAGTCTGAGAAAGTAACATCAGAACTAGAGAGTAAAATGCCTAAGTTGAAGGCATAAAGACACTAGAAAAGTGAACTGAAGCATGTTGTTCTAGTTAAATAATTAGTCCTGTAGCAGGAAACAATTTTACAACCAATTTCTTACTTATGAGAAATAGGATTGCATCTGCCTTTTGTAATGATTTGCGAAAGAAGTGATTTAAACAGCCGGAGCACAGGGCTGGGAACAATTCTCTTTTGTTATCAAACCACTTTATTCTACTTCACTGCTGGTGTGGAGTTGTCTGGTTGAGTGTGCTGCTGCTAGTGCTTGTTCATTGTGGCCTCTCTGATCAGACTATCAACCACCACAAGCTGCCATATGAAGAGATCTGCTGTAGTTCAGTTTCACACTCTTGAGCACAGACTATTTGGCCTTCCTGTTCATATTAGGCAAGTCATGTTATGTAAGTGCCTTAAGCATTGGTCAAACTGAAAGCTTCCATTGTTCATAAATAATTTATTTTCCCCACCATGGTTAGTTTTAAATCTTTGCATCATCAAGTAACTGATTTATGCAGCTTTAGGAAAATCAGGTGCTTCAAAATGTCCTAATTCTAATACAAAAAAAGAGATTTCCTTCTTCTCTAGGGATCCAAGGCATTGTTGATGCATATCGAGCATGTCTTCCTCAAGTGAAGTTATATGGACCAACAAATTTTTCTCCAATTATAAATCATGTGGCAAGATTTGCTGCTGCAGCTACTCAACAGCAAACAGCATCTGTAAGTTCTTTATGGTACTCTGTGTTTTTCTTACTTTTATTTTCCTTCTTGTTTATAAATACTTTTTTTCTCTTTTAAATTTTTAAGTGTATTCATTTGAAACTTGGCCCTTTACCTTGTGAATAAATATTTGTTACCCTTGAAACAATAGAAAAATTAGGGGTTTTTTGCAGATTATACATAACAGTCCTCGTCATCAATTAACTAAATAAACTCTTAAGATTTGGAATAGAAACTTAAAAATACACAACACCTTTATGGTATCTTCTGTTCAGAGCCCTCGCAGCACTGTACAGTTACTGAAGTCTAATTTAGGCCTTTATATCTAAGAGAGTGATTTAACCCCAGCTGAGAAAAAAAATCTAGACCCGGTTTCACATTAGATAGCAGGGACAGAGGATTAACTAAGGTAGTGAAGAAGTGAATGGTATAGCTCCTGACACCTAGGTACCAACACAGATAATTAACTGTACCATAAAGGTTTAGGTGCTGTATGGGCTGTGCCCTCCTCCATATTAAAATTTTATATGTGAGTTATTGACCATATTAAAAACAGAAATTCCGAAGACCAAGTCTGGAGTACTCAGTCATGTTGATAATTCATGGAAGTTCAGAAAACCCTAAATCACTGATGACAGCAAATACTGGTGTATTTGATGTCATGTAAAATCAGCTAATTTTTAACATAGTTATTTTTGCATGTAAAATTATCTGTAGAAATCAATTTGAAAATGAGCTATGCATTTTCATATGCCATGAGGCTGGTAAGGTTTTGCCTTGGTAGTCTTTCAGTAGTAGCTGTAAAAAAAAAAAAAGGTATGTATATATGTCTATATCTTAAGAAAGAAGAAAACCTCTTGTTGGTTTTGTTTCTGTTTGGTTTTTTTTCACTTTTATTTCATGTAGTATGCGTATTGAAGACAATTTGCTATCTTGACATTTAATACATATCATACTCATTTTGGATTGGGTTTTGATTCTGATGCTGATTTTTTTCCAGTGTGGAGGAAGTATGAGAAGGGAGAAATAAATCCAATGTGATATGCTATCCTGCTGCAGTTGCTTATAGCTTTCTGTTGTCACAACTGTTTGATAGATGTTCTTGCTGGAGTGGGGGAATGCATTAGCAGAAAGAAGGGAGAAAAGGTGATACCTAAACAGACAAGATAAGGGAAGAACAATTATTTGGAGGCAGATAAAAGCAAATGGGAAAGAAAGTAGTGAAGAAAGACTTCTAAGAATACAGGGAGTATCTTTGGGACTTGAATTTATGCTATTCAGTAATCATATGAAATGAAGTGAGAGAAGACTGGAAATTCAAAAAGCATTTGATAATTTCCAGACTTGGTACTTCTGGCTCATTTTTTGTGCTCCAATCCAGAACAGAAGCTAAGATGCCAACTTTTAGAAACTGTAACAGAATAGTGGAAGCAACTCAGATGGTACTTAATTAAATTACTGATCTACTACAAAATAGTCTCAGACACCTTGGTAATTAACTTGATGAAGCAGCTAGAAAACATGACTAGAGGAATTTGAAAATGGCTGTCTGTTTCAACACTAAAAGGTGTGATTTAGGATTTTCCAGATACAATGAATGAAGTAAAGGGTAGTGTTTCATAAAGGCATTAATAGACCAGAAAGGAAACAAATACAAGTTTCAAAAGCGTTACCTTTCCAAAACCTCAGTAAACTGCCTTCTATCCCAGAACAAATAATGGGAAAATAGGTTATCTCTTGGTTTGTCTGGGGATTTTGGAGGAAAGAAGGATGATACCATTGGGGTTTTAGATGGTGGCTGTTTATAGATTACTTCTTTTAAAAGATTATGTTGTTCTTACGAGCTTTTTCAGACTGTACACATGAAGCCTGACTACAAGTTAGATGTTTGATTGTAAAATTCAGTGACCACACTGAACATGCCAAAGTGACAACACTATGTAGTCTTTATGTGGGTTTTTCTAAGTGTGCATGCCTAAATGTTTGCTATTTTGTCACAACACGGTTTTTATTGATTTGACAGCAATACTTCATACTTCTGATCATAACGGATGGTGTGATAACCGACCTTGATCAAACTCGATCTGCCATAGTTAATGCTTCGAAATTGCCCATGTCCATTATCATTGTTGGTGTTGGAGGAGCAGACTTTGATGCAATGGAATTTCTTGATGGTGATGATGGAGTTCTTAGGTCCCCGTCAGGAGAACCAGCTGTCAGAGACATTGTCCAATTTGTGCCATTCAGGAAGTTCCAAAATGTAAGTAATCTTACTGATATGCTTAATAAGTATTGTAGAGGTATGCTGGGCTTGCTAGGATATCCTACATCTAGTCCTAAGCTTTTGTGGTATATCCAATATGTACTCTAAGAAAACTCTTTATCAAATGCTAAAAAACCACCCAAATCCTCAGTTTCTAGTTCCAGCAGTGCATTTCTGGCTGCAGCTGAATGACCTTTGTAAAATTTGATTAAACAAATGGATGTTTTTTTAATTTGTGAGGAAAAACTTACTATAATTTTTTTCTTATGGTTATTTTTCTTTTTTATTGTGATTGCCCATTTATGAATGTGGATTAGTCTCACAATTTAGTGCAGTATTAAAATTCAAGGCTGAGTCATAATCAGGGAGGTCAAAATCAGTAGAAACTGTATGGCCACAATAGTGGTGATACTTTTCATTTTCATAAAAGTAAATGCAAAAAAGGTGGTGAAAGAACAAAGTCCTGATATTTTTAAATTTCTGTAAAACTCAAAGTATATGTAGGTTAATAGAAGTCAACTTTTAAGCATCATAATGCTGGAAAGAGTTGACTTAAATAAAATTCAGCAAAATCTCCTCAGTATGGGCAAATAAGATCACTGTTTTTATTTCCATATATTTCCAAATATATTCTAATTTTATTTCATGTCTTAGTATTAACTTGTTAATTATACTCCTTGCAACTTCTTATTTTGCTTTTATGTTTTACTTTTAATAAAAATTCTTTGTTTAATCTCAGAGTAACTCAGGCAAACTGAAATGAACAAGAACAAAATCAGTACAGAATATGCTTATCAAGTAATGCGCTTGCGTGTAGATTAACTAGGGTCAATGCTCAGTGTAATAATATATATTCAAATGCTTTCAGATTCTAGAAAAATAGATTTTTTTTTTCTTATGGATACCTAGTCTTACAGTAAAAACAGTATCTGCAGAAGAGCTGCTCCATAGAAATAGTTATTGTGGATGAGACTTGGTGCAAAAGATTGCAGATGATTTTGACAAGTCCCTGAAGGGTCATTTAAGCAGATAGTGGAAGTATGTTTACCTGGTGAAGTCTGATATCTGAGCTGTGTATTTCATGTGACAAAAGGTGTCTTCAGACATGGTAGCCCTTTGTACACTCAGCTCCTGTTACTTCAGTGGCACAAGACAGCCATCTGATTCGTGGTAACAGGAGCGAGAAGGTAAAGCTGACAGGAAGCTTCCATCTCTCTGTCACACAAGGGCACTGTCTAAAGTCCTCTGTGAAATGTCAGACTTTAAGTTGGCCTTCTAGACGAGGTGCTTATTGCTTGCCTTAGAATCTTCGTTAGCAGTTGGTGGAAACTGAACCTTGGTGTTCTTTTTTTATAAGTCTCCCAAAGAAGCTCTGGCTCAGTGTGTCCTGGCAGAAGTCCCTCAGCAAGTGGTGAACTACTTCAGCACCTACAAACTTCAGCCTCCTAAGAATCCTGCTGCAAAATGAATGGGCTGAGCAGAGGAGAGACTTTGTGCTTGCTTTACTTGCTGTTTCTACAGACTTTGGTTTTCAAAATACTTCTGTAAACATCTACACATGTCTCTGTATCATAATGTCTGTTAGCTTTTGCCTTCAGATCACTTTGCCAAGTGTGCCTTTAAAGGGCCAAAACTGTATTGGTGTTTAGGTTTGATGTTGATTTGAGAGCTAGTGCTTGCATGGATTAATTTGATTTTGAAAAGAATGGAAAAAAGAGTTTCTATTAAGCCACCATAACAAAATTTTGACACAGGTGTTTCATATTCAAACAAGTGCCACAGAGTATAAAGGCCCTCCTTGCACAGCTGCTTCTTCTTTGCCACTTTAGTGCCTTTGGGCAATGCCTGGGATTCGGGCTGTGGGAATATAAGCCAAAGAAGTCATTAAAGTATATATTCTTTTATAGTATGCCTTCTCTTAAAGTAGTGTGGGAATAACTAGGGTGAATTAAGGTAAACCTCTAGCATCTCAGAATACTTCTGGCCTTTGAGGTTACCACTATAAGAGCTGTAAGATTTGTTCCAATGTGCAGTGTACTGGAAAATGGAAATTCCAGATTTATTTTGGTTGGGGTTTTGTTTTGGGGTTAATTCCCCCATAAAACAGTCATGATTATTGATCTTTAAAGGGCTTTTTGTGAAGTAGGAATTCAGATCATAGTTTAAAAGTTTTCCCTGATTTGCAACTGCATATTTTGAGGTAAAGTCTATAATCATGCTGCATACTAGGGTAAATAATTTCTGGTTTATTTACTTGGGTTGAGTGTTCCCTTCACTTTTTATAGCTTTTACCTGTATACCTTTTACATGAATGTAAATCATGTGTTTGCTTAGTGGACAAATGAAGGTTTCTTGACCCCCAGCTGCATACTGCTTGCTGAAGATCTCTTCTGATCCTGTCACTGTGTGTAACATAAGTGGATTGAAAGGTCACATTCATCACTTCTGAAATGTCAATCTTGAACATTAATTTTGCAGTTTCACATTTGAAGTGGTTTAGACATCCAGCTTATCTCATGTGGATGGTCTGGCTGTAGTATGTAAGAACAGAATGGGCTAATGCTAAATTTAGCACACTTGGACACTCAACATTTCACCAGGTCGTAGTGTATTTGACTTTTAGTTGCTGGAGCTGCTTAGTGGGCTTTTTGTTTTTTTTACCATTTATAATTCTGTTGAAAGTCTGAATTCATATTAACATTGATGGATGAAAGATATATCTATAGAGATTATCTTACACAAGACATACTGAATGTTTTGTAGACAGTTGACATTTATCAATCAATCATGAATGGATATATTACCTCCATTCCATTTTTCTTGGTGGAAGGGGATCCTAAATACTATGAAGTAGTGGAAGGATAACGAAAAGTTTCTTTCATGTTAAGCCAAGCTCTTTCTTTTTTTAAAATGTAATTCATATATTTATGTAAAAAAAAACCCTCTAATCATCTTTTTATCAGTGTAGTGAAAATCTGTTGCTACTTATAAATTACGATGGAGTGTCATGAGATATGCAACTCAAAATATTGAGATCAAGGGAGTTACTATAATAAATCTAAATCACACTGCTGCAAGTTGAGAGTGTATGATTTTGGAAAATTGTTTCACAGCTACCTGCTTCATGTAAAGAGAGAACTGGATGCAGTATTAATGATTTAATTATACATTAATTACATTAATTGTAGTGGATGAGTACTACTGATAGGAGTACAGGATACTACTGAAATTCCTCTGAGCTGTCTGCCAAAAATATAATGCTGCACCTGAGTTGTGTTACCAATCCTGTTTTAAGTTGCCATGGAATTGCATTATTATATGCTACTATATATGTAGTTTTATGCTAAGTATCTCCTGCATGTAAAATAAAACATGTTGTTTTGTCTGTATTCTATACATAAATTCTGAGTTTCTGCAGTAGAGACTTCATTATCTCTTATTAGAGAATTGCTCCCATGTTCCTCAAGCTTAGGGAGTTAAATAGCATATCAATGACATCTAGTTCTCAATGTGCTATATTCTTTGTAAATTAAATGTTTCAGACAGGACTTTGGCAAGAACTTGTATAACAGAGGTGTACAGCTAATGGCTGTTGAAAACTTCAGGGTAAGTTGAAGTGATATTCTCAGTGAAGAAATGCAGAAGATTGTGAGTCAAGGGGGAGGAAAGTTACTGTGTTATTTTGCCAATTTTTGTTTATTTTTACGTGTAAAAATGCATTAATAGCATGAGGGTGACAAAGCAAAATATTGTCAAAGTTCTGTAAAGTGAATGTGCTCGTAAGTCACTGGCACCACCTTGTGATAAAAGGGATGTATGGCAGTCTTTGTCATCAGATGCTTTTCGCCGTGTATTAGTGATAATATATTCATATGTACAGCAGAGAGATCACCTGTAACCAGAATTTTGTACTTTTATATGCATTTCAGTTCTGATGAAGTTAACTGATTTATGATGCCTGTGCATTAAAATGATCATTTCAGTATACTGTTCTGTGGTGCTTTTGTATTCAGCATATTGTGTGTAATGCTAAATGCTGCTTTTGTGATTCCTATGGTGAGTATGCCACGGATTTATAAGAAGTATAAAAGGAGAGGAAAAAGGCCTTTTCACTTAGGGGTAATGACTCTGCAGTTTATTCTTCATAAAGCATCTTAAACAGGCTTCTATCAAGAAGATAGTCTGAAGTTGGACAGTTTTAAATGTGACTGTTTCATGCTGAGTCCTCCCATGCATGCTATTTTATACAATTATTATCAGGTTTTCCAAAACTTTTTTCCCGGAACAATGTCTACATTTTAGTTAGAGAGGCATGGAGAGATGGTTATATGTAGTTTTCAAATACATTATCCTACTCTACCCTTCAGTTTCTTTACATTCAAGTGTTGCCATGTCTGAGGACTCCATTAGGACACTAAGGTACAGGAGACAGTGTTGCAGTGGAACGTGAAGCCACACCGAGACAACTGTGATACTAGAAGCTGTATCTTCTAAGTGCACCAGAGTAATTCGTTCTGCTTCTTCACTAGTCAAGTATCTGCAGGGTAGAATTAGTTCCTGAAAGAATTTATTACATCTTGATCTTTCTTGTATCATTCCTTCTGGTGAAAACCATACAAATAGTTGCAACTTCGATTTGTAGAGCCTTCTTGTTCCTGCCAACCCTAAGAATGCAGGAATTGTGGGAAGAGGAAAATACCCCAACAATTAAAAAAAAACCAAACAACAACAACCAAAAAACAAAACAAAACAAAAAAAACAACAGAAAACCAGATGGATTTTATTTATGTGTGGCCAGTGTCTTCTGCACTGATACCTCCCCTGTTTTGTTTTGGGTCTAAGGAGCTCGAGAGCTGTGCATAACAGTAGTCTTGCAGATGGAACTGTCAAACTTTTCGGCAAACCTGGGCTGTTATGAGCTGTAGCAAAGCAGCAATTTGTGGGAAGCTCTGTCACTGCAGTGAAGCACTTGGTGCTGCAGTCTCAGCCTTTACTTTGTAATTTATGTCAGTGTGTGATTGATGGACTTAAATATGCCCACTGAGAAAACGTTCAAAATTACCTGGTAGCATTTGTGTAGGCAGAAGGGAATCAGTTCTTTTCAATGAGAGTGAGCTTTACTCGTTCATATAAAAATGTTAAAATATGGAGAATATTCCCCTCCCTTCCATAATGCTTTGACAACTCTGTCTCAAAAAAAAAAAAGTATGTGAAACTATATATTGTAATTCATAGATTATTATTATTCATAGAAAGTCTCATTCATGAAACAGTTCTGCAGTATTTCTAATCTTGAGATTTTATTGAGACATTCCTGGATGTGCAATAGATGAATAATTCTTTATGAAACAATTTAAAATTTTCTTCCTCTCTTGTGATGTCCTTTGTTCTTACATATCAAATACCAAGTAGCATACAAATAAAGATGATTTTCTCCACAAAGCAACTCACTGCTAATGCAGAAGAACTTTGTTTTGTAAGAGGTTATGATTTTGGTCACATCAGAGGATTGTGGAGTATGCAACATATGGAATTCAGTCATCCAGCTTTTACTTGGGCAAACTTCCCACTGATTCTGGTTAGGCTTCCAGTTTTGTCTGTGATTACAGAAGTTGAAAGGCTTTAAAGAATAGGCCTACAGAATGCATAGCCTACAGGGTCATATATAGCCTGCAAAGTGAATGTTTTGTTTTGGCATGATGCCTTCCTTGGTTGGCTGGTCAGCCAAGAAGCTGTGGAGCCTGCCCTTGGAACTTCTTGGCTTGGCCTCTGCATAGTATTTTTAGTTTACAAAACTGTTCATGCAGTGGTATCTGAAAGGGAATTGGAGGAGAGAGGAGATGGACACCCATGGAGGAAAAGAAAGTAGTTGGGAGTTAAGCTTAAAACACAGCATCAAGCTTTTGTGTAATACTGTATCTGAGGCTGATGAGTCAATGCAGAAGGTTGGCAGTGTGGGAGCTCCTGGATGGGAGGCTGTATCCCCCAGCTGTGGCAGTCATAAAGGATTTACTGTAGTTCACAAGTGTGATGTAGCTAAGACACAGAAGACACAGGTGCCTCCTTGCTCTATTAATTAAAGGCTATGATGTAGATGAACGAATGGAGCATTGGTTGCAACTTTACAATGCAGAACCAGAAAGTGCTTTTTATAAAATAGCCTTTATTCTTGAAGCAGCTGGTTTAGATACCAAGATTCTTCAGACAGCTGTATCAAGTGCTTACTTTTCAGGGAGCATGCCCAACCCCTTGACAAGATCAAGAAAGTAAATCAGCAGCCCAAAGTTATAGGTCATCTCTGGAGGGTGAACTATCTAAGTCTTTTCCATGTTAATTTGCCAGAATCAAAGACAGCTGGAGCAGATGTTTATGCTTTCAGAGGGCTGGCAATAATTCTGTAATCTGCTTCCCTCTTGTGGATTTTGGGATTTATTTTTTGACAATGGTTTTGTTAGGTTGCCCTCTGTCCCAAGGTAAAACATCCCAACACATAGCACCTGCTGTCTGCTCTGAGCCACGCTGGTCACAAACCCAGGTCACCAATTAGAAGTATAAGGGAAGGAGATAGAAAGATAGAGAGAAACATAAGGAACCTTAGCAACAGTAGGGCAGTAGCAAGGAAAAGGATAACTATGGGAAGGCAGAGGAGAAAAGAGAAAAGAATACATAGAAAAGTTAAGAGCAAACTGAGCAACAGGAGCAACAGTAAAAAAGCAAGGATAAAGAGGAGGGGGAAGAGGAGAAGTAGGAACAAGACAGAGTAAGAGAAAAGGGAGAGCATGAATGAAACAAGAGGTCATGAAATACAATCTGAGCCGTAATTTCTAATACACCAAAAGTTCTCTCTTCAGTGTCAAGGTTAAGAATATAAATAAATTGTGCAGTTGTGCCAGGAGAGGAGGGCAAGGAGCAAGGAGCTCGAGTAGATTTTTCTCATGCGTACTTTCTGCTTTTATATTCTATACTCAAAAGCAAAGTCCAGCCAGCCCTCTGAATGCAGCAAGATGAAGAGATGGGCCACACCCCAAAGCACTATCTATTTCTTTTCTTTCTCTTTAATTTCGACTTTAAGGATCTCTCCTTCTTCTGCTCTGGGGGATGGTGTCATACTAATGATCAGAGACTCCTTGCTGGTTGTTCTCTGCATAACTGCAGGCTTAGCATCTGCCTTTGGCTTTTCTTTTTGAGCAGGGGGTGCAGAGGGGGCTGGGGGCTCCACTGGTTTCTTCTCCTCTTCTTTAGGCTTGGTCTCTGTTGCAGCTTGAGTTTCCTAGAAACAAGAAGTTTAATGTTTTCCAATACTGCAGAAGAAATTCAGGAAGTAGCTCTATTCTGTACATGCCATAGAAAGACACAGCATGACAAGTATATTAATGGTATGCAACACATGTAAATTTCTATTCAGATGTTGAAAATTGGTTTCTAAATGAAAAATGCAATTTCAGAATCAGAGTATCAGTATAAAACCTAGGAAATACTTTTGGATATTCATATTTGTGTCTTACTAATATAGAGGGATGAAACAGACCCGTTTTGGGGCACAGAACCCTTCCTTAGGTCTTGCCTTCCTTTATGCACTTAGACTAGTACGTAAACCTTGACATACTTCACACTGCCCCCATTCCTTGGCCAAGCCTATTTGCTAATAAGTTCACAAATACACACTAAAATGAGCAGCATTCCTGCTCCAATCATATTGTTGTAGTCATTTGTGTGAGCAAAGGGCAAAGTTCTTTGTTTAATTTAAATATAACCACAGCTAATTCAGCTGTAAAGAAAATAATTCTGCCACCTTTGGGTAAATATGTAGAAGTAAGCAGTTTCTTATTAACATTAACGTTTCTCAGAACACAGTATAATGTGGGAATTATTTTTCATCAGTTAAAACAACGGTTTTCTCATAAGTGCAAGATATTAGAGATTTAATCAATTTTAGCTGTGTGGGCTACACTTTGTATTTTGTCTTCAGAATTTCTAACAACGACCAGAGATATGACACTGAATTGGAAAGTTCACCATGTGCCCGAGTCAGCTGGATCAGATTACTGTGTTTGGGTATTTCTGTATTTACTGTTGTTTACATAAAATTAGAAGATCAGGTGCCCTTGAGGCCTTTGTAAAATCCATTTATCCTTACTTTCTTAGAGGTTTTTTTGTTTGCTTGCTTTTTTTCCTTGCTTTTGTTTTCTCTGGTCTGCATAAAGTCCAGGTTCAGAAAGATTGAGCCAAATTTTTAGAGTAAGTGTTTACAGAGATTAGGAAAAGTGGTTGTATCTCAGCTACTGGGAGTTTTTGCTGTTGATTGCAGCAAGGCTAAATTTTCATCTACTCTGTTTGTCCAAGCCCTCTCAGTAGATTCTACTCTGTTTTCTGTGGCTTCACCTGAGTTTCTTGTTGTTTCTTCAGCTGCAGCAGCTTAGCAAGGCCTTCTTTTCCTTTTCCTCCAAGCATTGCTTTAAACAATTTCGGAGTTTCCTGTTTCTGCCCAAAGAGACTGGCCAAGCCTCGTGGTTGTTGCACTGGTGGTCCTGGAGCAGGTTTTCCCTTCTGCTTCAGCAGCACCCTGGAGAAAGAAGGGGATAATAACATATAGCAGTGCTGTGAAATTGAGCAGAGTTCCTGCAAAGCTAAACATGAAAATCTGGTGGCTCTTACTTGGTTCACAGGTCAAGTGATGAGCAAAATTGGAAACAATAAAGGTTTTGCCCTTAACTCTGATAAAGATGGAGACAACTGTTCAAATTTGGAGTTGCTTACCTTTATCCTGGAATATAAACAAGGGCTAGCTCAAATTAAGGTGTCACAAAACAGATGAAAGAGTTTTATAAGGTGTGGAGGGGGATTGGGTGCCCCATGCTCGAGGTGGCAGTCCCTTATCTGGCCTTCGGGGTGCAAGATAAATCCAGGTGATCTTCAGAGAGCATTTAGAGCTCCAGTGGGACTCCAGTTGGCACATGTAGAGGAAATACTTTAACAAACCAACTTCCAGCATGGCTCATCTCTCATAGGTCAGGTTAGTCAGTGGTATTTCTTTTTGGTCCTCTTCAGTAGAAGAGGACACCCTGACAATGTAAGCACTACTGTCAATCTTGTGGCAGACTAGATTTTCACACCATTCCATAGGTGTACTGATTTGCAGCCATAATGGCAAGAACTAAGAATAAGTAACAAAGGTAAAGATTAGATGAAAGATCTGAGATAAATGGGACCAGTAAAAAGCAGAGGGTTCCCGTGCTTTCAGTTTCTATTAAATTACTGTACAGTTTTCAAGGCCAATTTTCTATCCTTGCAAAAGTCCTGACTTAAGGCTCTTTATGAGTGAGGAGTATATTTGCAGTCCGAAGCACAGTAAATCCCTAAAATTACAATTTTCTGCAGCATCTTGTACTTTGGGAATTTCAGAAGTGAAGGGTTAACTTTTTTTTTAAATTTCAGTGCCATAAATTAAAAATATATATACTTTAGCAGCTTGCATGGCTTTATTATGGAAAAAACATACAGGGGTTTTTGGACAGGTGATAATAGAGCAAATTTCTTGCTTGAATAAATCCTTTCAGTTTATTTCACAGAGACCTTTAAAGGTGACAGATGACCACAAAGAACTCTAATGTAAACCTTCCAGGAGGGAGCAACTGGTAACTTCATTCTAAAACTGAACATAACCACAATCTTTATGAAAACAGTGCACAGATTTCCTCTTTGTGCCTAGTTTTGGCAGAATTTGTGGATACCTAGATTGGTAGGCAAAATGCATGGTCTCCTGCATAGGACAGGTACTGCATATCTTTAAACAGGATATCCTGGTTTTAGTCTGATATCTAGAAAGGTCTTTGAGCTCAAATGGGAGTGCAGATACAAAAGATGGATGATTAAGCTTCATGGTTGAGAAAGGCTGTCTGGAGGAAGCATAATTTAATGGATGGGCAGAATATGCCTATGGTGGGCAAGAAAGCAGAAGAGGCAGACTGGGACAGAGACAGAAATAAGAAGGTCATACAACTGTTTAGATAGAAGCTAGAGAAAAGCCAGGAATGATTGATGCTGGGGATCATTGGTCCGTGCATTCGTTCCCCTCTTCTACCTGTTAATGCTGGTTTTGAAAATTGAGCAGTCAGCTCATTCTGTGTCTAGTTTCCTTGTCCCTCAGGGGCACCATGATTCTCACGATTGTTTGACTACCAGGGCTGTGACAACGTGATGAATGCAGCTATTTGATAGCACTTCAAAAAAACAAAAGGCCTCTCTTGTGCTATGTTCAGTTTTTTCTGGGGGAATTTCAAGTCTGGGACCAACCTTCCAACTTTTGATAGCAATTCAAGGCAACAGCTGAGACCAGTGGGGGTACTGAAGTATACTAATAATGACAAACTGTTTAAAATATTTGGACTTTTTACAAGGTAACAAGGCACTCATTTTGTCATAATTTTATGACAAAATCTGAGAATACTTTGCCCTTTCAAAGTTGTGAAAATGGTGATCCTATCAAGCTACAGCCAAAGGAAGGTGAAAAGCAATCTTGGTTTGAAATCCCATTTCAGAATACTTTTGAACAAAATGCGCAGGTATCTAATCTGTGTAGTTCCATCTTGTCAGGCCTTACTTTAAATCCATTCCTAGCTGCTGCCTAAGGTTTTGGAAATGCATACAAGTCTGTGATTGCATTGAAGCATATCTCTGTAGAATTAGTTGAAAGCGTTTCCTTGCATCTTTGAAAACCTATTCTTTAGCTGACATCTGTCTTGCAGTTTCTTTCTTGATGAGGTAAGAAGTCATGATATGTGTCCTTATCTCCTTTTTTTCTTAAATTTTTTTTTTGTTACCTTAAATATAATGCAGAAGGCAACTACATTCAGGATTTCTTTCTACTTACCACATTTCCACAACCTTTGGGATTCCTTCCAAAACCATGCTTTCAACTGGAAACTACCAGGCAAATCTGACCTCTAACATGAAATGGGTTTATAACTGTTACTTTTCCAAGAAAGGAATGCAAATCGTCTAGAAGTCACAACTGTCCATCCTACAACTAAATTATATGATTTCAAAACTGTTATTAGTACATACTTTGCTTTCTTCATGAGAAGTTTTTCTGAGTCAGGATAGTTCACCAAGATTTCATTGAGTGTTTTCTTGTCCAGAATGAAAAGGTTGGCAAAGCCATGAGCCACCACGTTGGCAGTCCTTCGATTTCCTCCACCTGCAGCTAGTAGGCTGGAATGAAAATAAACACCATCAGTGACAGCATTACTTGCCCTAGTGAGGAATCTCGTTGGTGGTAGTTCTCCATTAAAGCCACTGTAAAGCTCACTTACACAGCTGGCTATTCTATCCAATGTTCTGTAAAGGCCCTGTGCAGATGGGATTAGAAATTCCATCTCAGGAAGCCAAACTGTCACTGTTGGTCAGGCATATGTAGGTGCTAAGGACTGTGAAAAGTTTTGTTATATAGAGACATTTCTGCTAAGACATACCCACAGCTCGGACTGTACTTGTTTTAGTTCTCATGGGAACTTGGCATTTCCTCAGTTTTATTGCTGAAAATTATTTGCATCAGTAGTAGAGCAACATTATTTACAGTGAATGAATGATTCCCCTCAAGGATTTTTTTTCCCGAGTGAATAACTTCCGTGGGGCTCTAGTTTTTGGTTTTCTCCCATACCACATCTCATGTTTAAATGTTGGCAAGTTGAATGATATGGTTTAGGAAGGTCTTTCAGGCTGACAGTTACAAATGTGTCTGCCAGAAAAAGAAGGCTATTTTGTTTTGAATGTAAGACATTAAACCAGTTTTTCTAGCAGCAGTTGGCCAGAGGGAGGATATCTAAGAAAAAATTAGATGTACAAATTACAATAAATTGTTCATCTTGCGCAAAGCAATTGAAGAGACTTCACTTCTCAGCTCTGCTGATAAGTAAGAGAATTTGCATTTTGCTCTTAGTACTAAAATCGCACTATCACTGTATTCAAGACCCCAAAATTTTTCCTTTAAAGATTTCCCAGTGAATTAATATTTTTAGAGAATATTTAATATTATCTAAATTTAAGAGTTATTAATAAAAGGTATTCTGAACCCCAGTAAAAAGGAATTAATACCCATCTGAAGTAATAATCAAGGATATATAAATATTTGTTTTAATATTAAAAATATTTGTAAAACATATTTCTAACTATTGAATCATATATATATATAATTTATATTTCTATTTTATATATATATATTTAATTTATTAAGAATAGTAGACCTCTACAACTATGTGTGCAAGATTAGTTTTACATGCCTGCAGAGTGTTTTTCTGCAACTCAAGACAGCAATCAATACATGAACTGAAGCGGAAAATGCAGTTTATCATCTTTTTAAATAATTCTGTACGATTCCTCAGATAGAATAAAACTCTTTGCACAATAAGAAAAGCTGCTGGAGAAAATTGCAAACACCTTTTGAGCTCTGATGAATCACTTCTCAACAAGTCATTGAACAATCATTTTTAGGCTTTCCTAACAGAAAGCTCATTTTATCAAGGTAGACGAAGACTAAAGGGATCGGCTTTTTCATTATGGTGATGATGTGAGGTGAATTTTTACAAGTGAGGAAATCTTTGCTCAAACAGAATAATCTTTGACTAAGGACAGTGTTATGTACTTCAGCATTCAATCTGGTTTGGTTAGTGTGTGAAGAGTTATATGACCAAAATTTTAAAAACAGATATGTTTGCCTTGCAGTGATTCTTGGTAATGCAGTATCTATATTAATCACCAAATTTGCTTTTTTTACCTAACATTTTTTTACTCCAGCTGTGAGCCTGAAATGCTGTAATATTAGTAGAAGTTGATAACCTTAGAATTCTTATGCTAGCAAATTAAATTTCAAGCTATAAAGTTGTTGAAGTGATGACTCAGTTTATCTATTGTTTTTATAGCTGATCTTTGTAGGAAGCTGCTGCTAATAGAAATTGGGGAATGGCTTGTGTTATCAGCTGAACATGCAGGGTTGTGGTGGCTCGGCTGGGCACTTATGTGCACATGAGGAGAACTGGTAAGAAAGGAAAGGGAAATAGGTCTGGATCTTACTTCTGAGAAGGATGTCAAACTCCAAAGGGCACAGAGCCCATCAAAAAGCAGCAGCTACTACTTTGAGGGTAATCCTGGACCAAAGTACTGAAAAATGCCATCTTTCACAAAACTAAGTAGTCCCTGTAGTTTGGATTTTTTAATATAAAGTTTAAAATTACAAAACAGATGAAAACTGAAGCTGAGATCTTCCTGTCAAAAATTTACATTAAATGGAGAAATGTTTTAGTTTTTCCAGAATTAACATTTTCTGATAGGAAAAAGCCCTAGTGAAATATCAGTAAGTGGATGAAGGAGGACATCTGGCTTCAAGTGTAATTTTCTCTGGGCAAGTGAAATGTTATTATAACTGAATTTCTCTTGTTCTGAATTGTCTTTGCTGATAGGCTCTCATTAAGGCAACAATCTGTTTGCTTCTGATTTTTAAATTATTTTACTTCCCCAAACTGATATTATCTATACAGGAAAGTTGCAATGAGGGTAAAATGTTAATTGGAACTCCTATTACTTAATCCCTTTCTGTAATAATTTTCAGGGGTGAAATTGGCAAGGGACATGTTTGATTGTTACTCTTGCATTGGCTTTCTAGTACATTTCAGGGAATTTTTTTGGAAAGAAGCAGTTTTATTTTCTTCAATTCCTTTGCTTCTAGAGAAGCAAATGTCATTAACATGCATTTTGAACAGAGTGAGATTAAATAGCAAGCATCTTATAAATCATGTACCTAAACCACTCAGAAGGAAGCTGACATATTTCTCCAAACAAATCTTGAATTGGAAATTAGAAGGAAATCAGCCTGATATCAGACAGGAAAACTTGTATGTCCTAAAAAAAGTTGTACATAATCCATTAAAGAATATTTTCTGCATTTTCCTGTGGTATTCTCTATTCAAAAGACCTTGTCAAAATTTATATAAAAAGTCACAATACAAACTCATTATTTTCTAGCACCTTGCCACTAGGAAGAGCATATATCTCCTGATGCATTTAGTGCATCATTTAGTCTGCCAGTTGCTGTGTTTTTTCTCCTTGAGTTTATCCACTGCCTGACATTTTATATGCAAATTACACGTGTCTGAATGGGTTTGCTGCTGCAGTAGGTCAGTGATGAATAAAACAAATAAGACTAGAAGTGTAGTGTTACAGCATTGCTGAGGGCTTTGCTGGCAATATTGGCAATTATGTAGAGTACCACGTACTGGGAAATGAATCTTTAAAGGTCGTTGTGTGGTTCTCACATGGAAACAAGTGCTCACCTGTGTTCAATCAAAAGTTTAAAATTCCCTTCCTTGTTTTGAAACCAGCAGTTATCATTTCTCAGTTTAAAATGCAAAGTTCTCACTTCAAATACCAAACAAATAATTGAAAACCACATGTGTGTCACATATGGGGGCTGCTTTAGATTTTCCTTCTGTCTTTTCATTATTCCACCCTTATCAATTAGTAGATTCTCAGTCTTTCTGCATAACTTACAATACAGACTTTTGTTTGGAAACTTTGCTCAGGTAATTATATTGTCACACAGAGACATACCTTTCAAAAACCCTTCTCAAAGAGCTGATATAATTTCACTTTCCCACTTAATGAACAAGTTCTATAACTATGAAATATATCAGATGTTTTGCACTTGAGGTCTAAACAGGTTCTGTATGCACATCACTGGATAAACAGGAATGTTTCCCCTACTACAAAGGGAGACACAACTGGAGGACAAACCTGGCACAGAGCTGTATTGCTTTTCAAAAGGCAGATTAAAGCTACCAGCAAGAGTGCTAACAATAACAGGAAGGCAGCTGGAAGAAACTAAGGATCCAGTTTATCACATGCAGCAGCACATTTATTTTATTATCTTTCCTTGGGCCAGCCTCAGTAGGGGGGTGCAATGCCTAAAAACTAGCACTTTTTTGGCTAACTAGGGAACATAGTATGCAAGAGTTAATGGATTTTGCATAGAAAGTACATGCAGAGTATAAAAAAAATTTATAGCCACCAGAAAAAATTCTCATCCAGATAAATTCAAACAAGAATCTGGTCCATCCACCTTTTTCTTGTCTTGTATGCTTTTATTAAATACTTTTTCAAATTGGGATGTCTGATTTTTAGCAATTTAATCAGCTCTTAAATGGGCTAATTTTAGATTTTTGTATCTATTTTGTTAGAAATTAATTTTCACCTTTGCCATCTGCTGTTTAAGTGCACCTAGTCTTATTATACAGACAATAAAATGGATTTGGTCCTCCTGTATTGCAGACAGCATAACAAGGAGATGAGTTAAATCTTTAAATGCTAAGGAAGAAATTTATATCCCTGCATTGATCAAAACACTGGTCTCACATCTTACTCTGTTAATCACTGATGCTTCACTTAGATTTTCCTTCACTTACATGCATCTCCTTGCACAGTGTCCTCTTTGTTGGTCATACCCACTTTCCAGCCTCCCCATGATAGCTGTCACACTTACCACAGAGAAGTTAAACAACCACTGATTATTTGACAAGTTCTGAAAACAAGTACCAAAAATAGTGATGGACCTACCTGATCTCCCCAAATACAGCTCCTGCTCTGAGTGTAACCAGGACTTTGGTGCCATCAGGGCCTCCAAGGACTTGAACTTCACCCTGCTTGATGATGTACATCTCTCTGCCAATCTCCCCCTAGGCATACAAACACACAAAGAACCCGTGTTTTAGCAGTGTTTTTTGTTGTTAGAATAATATGACAGGTTCTTCTTTAAATATTTCTCTACTCTCTCATGAGCGGAGTGTAGCGCTATTATGAGGCAAAGCAGCACTGTAGTTTTAAAAGTGAAAAAGCAGCAGCAACAGAGCCAGGACTGAAAATGCAGGGACTTGCACTTCCTATCTCTTCACTTAGTCCTCCAAGATCGCATGCAGCATCTCCTTAGTGAATTAGGGTGAGACCAACACACATCCAGGGGGAAGGTGGCTCCAACATTCCGTACTACATGCTGCAGCATAAATAAGATTGCTGTGGTCGCTGGTCACATAGTAGAGTTATACAAGTGAGAGGCATTTTAGCTCTGAATCAAACTGTAATAAGTTGATTCTCCAATTTCTCATAACCTCTCTTTGTTAAGAACCATTTGCATCAGAGTGCAGTATCAAGCATTGAATCTGTTGCTGTCTTTTATTCTCTCTGTTGTGTCAGAGTCCCAGCTGTAGTCTAAGATCCTTACATGCTGTGCATTGTATAAGCAAACACACCAAACTACTCTTCCACCCTTCTTAGCCAACAGCAGTTCTGGGATTGGTCTTTGAAGGGACACACTTGAGCCTTCAGTGTATTCACAAATGTTTAACTTCTGCACAGTGGAGTCAGTGGAGCTAACCCAGCATTCTTACCTTAGTGGATATGTTGGACCAGAGCTGCTAAAGACAAGTTAAGGGGTTCTGGTGGTCACTTGTGTAGGTGATGGGACCTGTGGGTCGCTTTCCAGAACAGTAGTAGAATGGATTACTGTTTGTCCCCCCAAGCTTTAATTGCATCTGACTTTGCCCTGTGTTTTCGTGCCTTCTAGAAAGACACTAGGGCTCACTGGTCAGAAGCTGAGCTATTTATCTGAGAACTACCTCTCTGGCCAGGCTTAAGTCAAAATGCTGAGACAAGATAGACATCTTTGCTAGACAGAGTGACAGCATTCAGCTGAAAACCTGGAGATGTCTCGGAGCTGTGAGTGAAGGTAGAGCAGATCCTGCTGGAAGGAGCTTTATGGGATGCAGTGTATTTTCTACATTCTTAGATAATTCTACTTAAGCTTGTCTGAGTACACAAATGAAACACAGATGAAGCATCATAGACTGAGATCTGTAAGCTGGGTTTGTATGTATAGAAGTATAGAAACATTAAGTTTGATCCATTTTAAATATTAAAATTTCATAAGGTATCATTAGATAAGCCATTATTTACATTAAATGCTTTCCCATATTGCTATAATTTCATGGTTGGTAATGTGAGTAATAAAATCCATATTGTCTTGTTCTAGATTGAAATTTGAGAGCATATTTGTTGTTATTACACAGAGTAGCTTAATTAATTTTATGCTTTCTAATTCAGTCAGGATTAATTTTATTTAAAGAACATTGTTGACCGATATCTGAACTCCTTTTCTAAAATACATAATGTAGTTCTTATTTGAATAAGACAAGAATGCTCACCTTTTTGCAGACAAAGTCACCAGGTAAATATACGATGGATTTCAACCTTAGCAGCATGTCATATATCATCTGGGTATCACAGCCCTGTTAAAATAAAGTTGATCACTCTGCTAATTCAGTATTAAAAATGACTATTAGTGCCTCAAAAGCCAACAATATAGGAATGACCTGGGGATTCTGTAAGTGGAATGCAAACTCAAACCATCCTAAAGATCAGCTATTAGAGCTGAGAAAGGACTGAAATAATTCTTATTTCAAATACTTATGAAGTTTTCTATGTATTGAACATATTTTCATTTTTTATAAAGTGAGTTTCTGTACGTCTAGATTTTCTGAGGAAGCTCAGTAAGTGTTATGTTCAGAGCTTTATGTGTCTTTTAAGGGTATTTATGGGATTTTTTTTTTTTAAACTGCTCCAGGGGAAAAGAACAGATCCTGTGAAATGCCCATATAAATCTATGAATTCCATGCCTTCAACATGCATAGAAAAAATGTATAGCCATGTAATTTTTGTACACGTATATCATGTGATTTCTTGCAAATATAGTAACAAGAAAAATTTCTGTGTATACTTCTAAAAACTCAGTGTCTCCTTGCTTTTGTCCCAGAAATCCAATTTTAAATGCACATTTAAATTGCAGCTCTAGAAAAGCTTTCCATGGTAAGTAAAGAGAAAGCTCCTTTACACAAAAACTGACTGTGATGCAGCTTTCTCTACACCAATGTTACATTGAGAGCACAGAGCATGGGTGATCTCAGGCAGACCTGGGTGGATACAGCAAGGTGGACTGTGTGTAAAGTTAGATTATTCTCTGTCTGACTCTTGGGATTAGTTATACTCTGAACTCACTCACAGTCTGACCATACCATCAGCTATAGGATGTTATCATAACAGGACTTTGTTTTAATCTCATTTGCTTTCTTTAAAGATCACTTCCTTGACACAAAAGAAAACTAAATGCAGGCACTTGGGTTTGTTCTGATGTCTCCATTCGCTGAGACATTTGACTTATTTTGCCTTGTGTACTAACAAATGTACATAAGTGTTGAAAGATGCACAAAACAAGTTTTCTCTATGAAATACCACATATTTTTGTATTCTCCTGTAAAACTACTTGCTTTGAATAACTCCACTTTGTTGACAATGGCAAAGTTCACATCAATTGCAACTGCTAATTGCATTTTGGTTGGCATCTGCTCCAGTAATTCTGATTCATCTGAAAAAAAGAAAAAAAGACAAATTAAGGAATGTCCACAAAAATGAGTAAAAATAACTTAATGGAGTTATTCTGACACATATGAGTTCAAGTGAGGAAGCAGCTAATGTGCTTTTACTAAGATGCTTAATAAATCTGGTCTAAAATTATTACCAAAACATTGTATTAATGAATATAATTTGCGAAGTATTAAGAATCATATAGCTTTTTAGTTCCAAAGTAAGTTGAGCAGCCTCCTCTCACTTCCCACATGCAATTTAGAAAAGGAGAAATGTGAATTTCACCCTATATCTGTATCTGTACAACCACTGTCACTCAAACACGCTAAGTAACTGGAATTGGAAATCCTCACCCAGCATTCCTTGAGAGTCCCATGTGTATTCATACCAAGTTCGAACACGGTTTTGCACCAATCTTGGAATAGAATAAGTGTTCATGTAGGAGACAGTGTTGTCCACACAGGAGCGATAATAGTTCTGCCCTGCTGTTGCTGCTCCAATTACATCTCTCATCTGCAAACATCAATTGTTGTTACTACACATTTCAGAAAAAATAGTCCTGATTTTAATATCTGCCAGCAACACATAAAAATAATAGAATACTTTTTGCAAAATCATTGACTAATTATGCATTTAGCTGCATGTTTTGAATAGGTGCTTCATCCTCTTTTTCAGAAAAATTACAGATTTAATCTGATTGTTTTAGAAAGTGTAACATGATTTTAGAGGAGCTGTTTCTGGGTTTTGGCTTATTCTTCTGCCTTGTATTTCTGGAAATGGATGAAAATTATTGATTATACTTTTCTTTAAAATCCATAGTAAAGCTACTCTGCATTTGGCAAGCAATGCAAATCAGAAGCGAAGCAAACTGGGCTGAATTTCTGTAATAACATTATCTGACACCACTAGAACTAAGACTGTGCCACTGTTTAAATCGTTAAGAGATCCTAAGAGTCCTAAGCTCTGAGAGCTGATAGGTGACCTTAAAGCTTTTAGTGCAGGAACATCATTTAACATTTCAACTCAAATGTGATTCAGTTCTTTAAAAGTGGATGAGTTAATGTTCATAGATATTCCTTCTTCGAAAGAATAAGTATTCAGATGTGATTTTAGTGGAATGGCTTCATGTGGCAGCTGCCAAGGATTAATGTGCCATGGGCTGAATTTTGCTCTTTATTACAGAGATGCAGTTGATTGCAATGGGAATAACAATTTTTAGGCAAGTGTGCTAAAGCAGGAATAAATAATTTTAAAGGTTCTTTGTAAACAGGAATTATAACAATCAAACTATATAGTGAAGTATTTTGTATGTTAAGGTTTAAAGTTTGCAGATGACTATGCTGGTTACAAAAAGTAATCTGCAGAATCTTCTTGGGGAAACAAAGCTTTCATTGATAGTTACAACAGCTTAGGGGAAAATTACAAATCTGCAAACTCTGGAGTTTAATTCTATATACTTGAATTCAATAGTTTTCCAGAAAAAATATTTTATGTCTATGCTTTATTTTATTTTGTTTTATTTTTGGTAATTCTGGTTTATGGAGGAATTTTAAATATAAGGAAGAGTCTCTTTAGTAACAGTTACCCCTTCTTGCAGTTCCAAAGAGCAAGAGACATATGCAATATCTAACTGCTTTATTACTGAATTTTCTAATGCTATATTCAAAATAAGAATTAATTTCAGTTTTAATTTAGTTTCCTTTCTTTTTTTTTTTTTAAAAAGTAATTAATTTTACAACACATATGGGCAAATCAAAAAGTCTGGAATGGTTTCTACAGAAATAAATAACCCACAGCCTCACTCAGAAACCTCAGCATTTGTTTTTCTGTAGGCAATGTGTTTTAAAATTTATGTTCTAAAGCCCAAGTTTAATAGTTAAAAAGCAGAAATATTTCAATTATATACATTTAGAAATATAACTGATTTGGTGTGCTATGGGCCTTTTTTTCCCCCTCCTGCCAAATGAGAACTAAGAGAAATAGAAACCAGTTAATTGACAAATATATTGTAATTTGTGGAAGAGATCAGAGTTCTAGTTTGACAAAAATCATGGGATTTTCATTAACAAAATCCTATTGGATTTGGATTTGGTGGTAGTACTGAGTGTGACTTATTCAACATTTACAATTTTTTTCTTTTTTTCAGATTTAACAGTATAATATGAATGTCAAGGATTTGTCTCCTTGGCTGTGAGTAAGGGAAAAAACAGGAATTATACATAGCTTCAAGGGTCATCTCTGTCCTGCAGAGTCTTGGCTTTTAATCAGCTTATGTGCAAAAGAGCTTCAAAGCAGGGAACTGATTAAACACGTGTATTTATCAGAAAAATAAGTATGTTTGACATTAAAATTGAGGACAGAAACTAAACTTTTTCCCAGAACTAAACTCCACTAAATGGAATGTATTATCACTACATTACAGTAATTTGAATACAACTTGTTGATTTTTTTAATGTACCTGACCAATTAAGCTGGAGAAGACAAAGACACCCATGAAATAATTCAGAAGTTGAAAAATTATCTCAAACAGAGTTTGTGGTTCTGGAAGGCCACCGATGGTGATTAAACTGCGAACTGCCCAGTAGTAACACCTCAGGTACCTGTGGATACAAACAGCATTTTTGTTAGACTTTAGCTACTTATGTGTTTGAAGTTAAGTTGAATATGAGTTGGGCCTTTCAGTGATGCTTTTTGGTCCAAAAGACTTTCAGCACTTTATAAAGGGTTATGAATTTAAAAATGATACAGTTATATAGGTCAGGTTGAGCTGAATGTTCTCACTGAAAATAAAAATGTATGGGAAATGCAGCTCTAATTTACTGTTCTTTAGTAACTGTAGGTAGCACTGATGAAAACTTGTGTACAAAATTGCCAAGATGGACATTACAGTGTCAGAATGCTGCCAATGAAGATGGTCAAAAGCAGTGTAAAAGTGTTAGAGACTTCCCAGAGTCTCTCTGTAGCAGCATAATAGATGCTCAAACACCTGAACGTCCCCTTCATGGCTTTCATTTGATGACACCTGTGCAAAGCCTTATGGTGGGAATGACAAATGCGATATTGTTCTTCTTGTGTCCATTTTTACTCCTGTGATCATGCTGGTCTTTCTCCCAGTCTGTTTCTGAGTACCCTTCATTAGCTCTACCTCCTGGGTTATGTCAAAAAAGTTACATATTTCCACAAGCTGTGTGTTAATCCAACTTCTCCAAACCACTAATTCAGCACTGGAAGGTTGACTCTCTATTAATATCTCCTAGACACTGGTCTCCACAACTCCTGTCACCTTAACAAACTCTTTCTTGCCTTTTTCATTACAGAGCCTTTTGCCTTCCAGTTGTGTATTTCTACTAGTATGATAACACAATTTTATGAAAGCAGCAAAGGACCTGGACAGAATGATTTTAAAAAGTGCTTTGGCATCTCTAAAATTCTGTTTTAAATTTAATTCTAGAACATGATACCACAAACAATGCAGCATTGGGGAATAAATAACGAGTTCAAATCATTGTTGTGACAATGCTATCATTTCCTTCTTTTCTGAGCAAACAAGCAATTGGTTTAGGTGTATTTTTAAAAGGCTGCTATTAATTAGTATGTGACTTCCCAAGTTTCTGTATAGTCAGCTTCAGCTTTGCTGATGATTATGAGTGGAATTTCATTTCCCTTAATTATAAAGTGGGATTTTCTATTACTTCATCTGTGACAACTGCTTCTGAAGCAATGATAATTCTTTATGTGTGTTGTATTTTATTGTTTTAAATAATAATTTCAGAAAACCAAACAACGCCCCCCACCCCCACCCCCTCCCCCCCAACACAAAGACACAGAAGAAATGCTTTTGGAGATAAGTTTGTTTTGAAATAGAAAGTCTCGTGTGCATCTTCTCATGCCTGCTCTGAACCTGAGGTTCCCTTAGGTGTATTTCAGACTCCTCTCTTTTTAAAATATGACCTCCACTATAATAAGAGGCTCATGTAATAGTACAACTTCAGGGTCAGTTTTGTGCAAATATGAGAATATAAACTCACAGTAACAAATTATTCCAATTAGGTTGTTTTTTCTTAAATCACTTGAAAGTGTTTTCAAATTTTTCACCCAAAATATAAGGCTTTACCAAGGAATTGATATTTTTCTTTACAAAGTCCTTTTTTTCTTGGTTGCAGATTAATAAAATGCAGTAACAATGATCACTTTTACCATAGTTTTCTAGTTTTAGATGTTAGCAGTCAGAACTGGCTATTTTCATTCAGAGTCCTTAAATAAAAAATTCATTGCGTATTTTCCATCTTATCATTTTTTCTTGTTAGGGATACAAAATGAACTACTGGATTACACCAAAATAATATTTTCACTTGGGATAAAAAAAAAATCACATATGCTTGTTTCCAGCAAAGTATGCATAAGTGGCAGCTTTTACTTAGACTTCTGCAGCATAAACAATAATAATGAGAAGATTCATGTCCGTTTTGGAAGAATTACAGATTTAAGCATAAAATTATGCTTCTAGGTTGACTGAGGGGAATTATGTAAAGCATATTAATATTATATTGATTTGCCATAACTGAGAATGCTGTGGTGCTTGAAGCATGTATAATTGGGTAATATAAAAGTAAAGAAATTAACATTACTTCTGTGATACTTTAGGAAATAAAAGTTATTAAGCAACTCCCTCACCCTCAATGGCTCTGCGTGCCAAGTTTGCAAACTCCACCATGATAGACAATATAATCTTTATTCTGAGAATGTCTACAAAGAATGAAACAACTCCTCAGAGGAATTTACGGGTCACATTCTTCTTTGTAGTGCTGGATGTCCAAAATATGAGGCTTTTTTTTTATATCTTTTCACCCTTTTTAAAGATTTAGTTAATATAATGTATTCTTCTGTGATTTTACTTCAAAAGAAACTTTCTATTGGCAAGGCACGTTATATTCTCTATCTCTTTGGAACAGGTTGTCTCCATTAAAGCATTTTTGGTTTTATTTTAATCTGAAATGGAAGTTGCACAGTTGAAATACAGAGCAGCTTTTTCCTCCCTAAGAAAGGGGGAAATGAGATTGTAAATTTTATTTAAAGAAAGCCAGAAAAAACAACTCCTATTTCAACAGTATTAGCAGCTCTGCTTCCTACCAGCATGTGTCTGGAAACTATCACTGTTTACTATACTGCTTACCACCCTGTTATAAAATTATTATTGAAGTAAACAACAGTCATGAGACAAGAAAGGGATTTTTGCCTCTGCACATCACAGAATGTTTATCCTTCAGGCAATCAAACTACTAGATTTTTCTTTAAAAAAAAGAACTAGGTATGAAAACATTCAGAAACACTGCAAATAAGATACCTTGTAATACTATGTCAATAGAAATATCTTTTCAGAATTCACTAAACTTCTTTCATGGTTTTGGTTAGTGCAGGTAAATCAAGTCTTCGTGCATGGGTATCTCAGCTTTTAAGGTGGTATTCACATATTCATTTCAGCCCAGGGAAGCATTGTTTCAGCACTATCACGTTTGACTTCTCTCAGGTTACAGCCAGGATGAGTTTAAGCAGTGTAAAGCAGCAGCCTTTATAAACTAATGACTTCCTTCTTGGTACCTCTTCTGGAATGTGTTCCTCAGGTGCCTGTGGGTCTGATGATCTCAGACACAGCGGAGCAAACTATAAAGCTTTTACTTGAAAAGTATGGTTGTGGGTAGCAGGTCTGAAAGTCTGAAATATGAGCTGGGCTGTGCATTCACAGCTTGTGTGGAGGCACGAAACTCTCTTTGCATGGCAAGCACTGCAATCATGACACATCAGAGCTATTGCAAGGACAATGCACAGCTCATACCCACGAGACACATTTCAAGATTTTCCACTGTGCCTTGGGCAATGCAAACCAAAGGAGTGGATTTGTTCTAGACACGTACAGTGACCATTTTCTGGAACATACAGATATCCACTAAGTCTGTGCCCAGAACAGGAAGGTAGCACACTACAGAGAAACATAATTAGGAGGCAAATAAATGTCTTAAATTTGCCAAAGATATTTGCAGAGTGCTTGTAGATGACTTGCAAACAGCAGAAGTATACCATGAGCAAAATGAAATTATTTGTTTTGCCTAATTTTACTGCTGACCTGGAGGCTTTGCATGAGAATTTCAGCTCCCTAGTTTTAGTTTCTCTGTGAACAGTGATGAAAGAGAGATACTTCCTTGTCATTCAGAACAATGACATTACATCGAATCCCTGAAAAAAGATTTATCTATTTTCCTCAGGAATTAGGGAGATTGATCTTTTACTTAAGTAGTTAAACTAGATTGTAGATAAACACATATATTTGAAATTGTCCACTTAAGAGACCTTTTCAATATCTGCTACTGTCCTTGTGCAGAGTCTACACTCTGGTGTTCCATTAGTGATGCTGTGCTTCTGCATTAGGAGAGACTGAGGTCTTGCCAAACTCAACCTCACAAGTGCACTTTTAATGCTGGAAACACTGTGGGTGGCTAAATTGGGTGTGTTGCAGGGAAGCAAAGTTGACTGCCTTTTCTTCTCATGTCAAAGGCTGTTACTGATGGCTGCTGTGCAAAACACTTGAGTGGACAAGAACTAGAAAAGAACAGAGCTTGCAGAAATTTGGAGAAGAGCTGCTTTGATAATTGTGCTTGTGGTTTGAGTATTGTGTAGCTGCTAGTTGTAGATTTAGTTCACCAGCTAATATGCCTGTTCAGGAGCATGTATGTAATCAAACTAATAATGGAAACTGCAGTCTGTTACTTCTTTTTAGCCTGGAAAAGGAAATAAAATCCTAGGAATGTTGACTTTTTAAGAACTGGTTTTGGACATAACTAGCAATATTTTATGGACACAGCAAGGTTTCTACATTAAGCATTAATGCCACTAAATCAGTGCCAGATTATTTTCTGTGGGTCAATGTAATCTGAGAAAGCTAGAATTTTGGTTTACTTGTCAAACCGCTTACCATAATTTTTAAAAATTTGCTAAGTAGCTATGTTTCCCTAATCTTATTTCTGAATATATTCCCATTCTTTGTGAGACTATTGGCATATTTTGCTTCAAATATTGTCAACCTTGAATGCTCTGTGAAAGCAAATTATAAGTTCACTGCTGTGCCATAATATATGCTGCAGTACTAGTCACTTTTCCTGACAAATTGTTCTTGTATCTGCTTTCCTAATAAATGAATATACCTTATCTTGTCTGATAAGTTCAAATTCACTTACATCTCCAATTATAACTAATGTTTACACGATGCCTCTGTGTGAGGAAAAATCCTAAAACATTTGATGATTAGATTAAATGTCATGCCTAATTCTCTAAGGCAATTCTCTTCACGCAGTCAGCATTTGCTGTTAGTGGGATACAACAGCAGTACTCAAGATGTGTATTTTAATGGTGTGTGGAAACTTCAGACGTCATTTTTTTCAAGAGATAACCCTACTTTAAAAAAATCAGCGCTGGTTTACACAAATTGTGTTTTGCTCTCAAAGACTGTTTTCTTATCCTTGAAGGTAGTGACTTGTCACGAAACTTGTGAAGTCAGACAAAACTACAAACAAGAGCAGCACATCTCCAAGAGAAAGGTGAAAAGTTATTTAGAAAGCAATTTATCACAGCAGTAGGATACTGTATGGGGTTTTGCAAGGAATGTAATCAAGGAACAAACTGAGCTTCTCTGGCTTTAAGTATATCATAGCCTTTGAAAGAAATAAATTTTCACCCAACTGAACCTAGTAGCTATATCTTTACAAAACTACACAAAGAATATATTATGACTTTGCTTTTCTCTCTTCCTCTCTGTCATCTTACTAAATGGTCCTTACTTGGCACCCAACCAGTGCTGTCACAAGGAGCTTGTGAAAAATTGTGCCAAAATCTCGTTTCCCCTGAAGACACTCTGCCACATGTTTAAACATGACCTTCTCAAAAGATCAGAGAGAGCTGGTGGAATTTCTTCAGACCAATCACCACGGTGAAGAGGAACTAAAATGTTGCACTTTAATGACACAATGCTGTGTGGCAGCAAAAAAACTCCCAAACTATGCCTGTGTTTCCTTTGAGGGATTGCTACAACAATCGTTCTAACAGTTCCCATGTGCATATGCAATCACTAAGTTTAATTTATGACCCTTGTTACTTTCTAAATGTTTAATTAAATTAGCACTTAGCACCGACTCATAAACCTATAAAAGCTGAAAATAGTGAACTGATTATTCAGTGCACCTGCCCTCCAAATATGTGTTAGTATTGAAAGCTGCTAATCAGCAGTTATGATGCTAAAAGTTTGCTATCCAAGCACTTTAAAAAGTAAGGGCATACCTTGCAAGCAGCAGCATGGGAGAAGGATGGGGGGGGCAGGAATGAGCAAAATAAAAAAAAAATCTCTTGCAAAAGAAGAGGACTTACATGTTTCCTTCGCCATCATACACCCATCTAGTGCTGCCAATTCCTTCATAGTCTGAAGCCCAATAATACAGGCATGCATTAATGTGCAAGATAAACAGCAAGTAGCCAGTAGTTCGAATGACCCTATAAAAGTCAACAGATTCCTGTAAAATAAGCCTTACATTTTTTCTTTTTTTTCGTTATTTTTTTCTTTTTTTTTTTTTTTTAGTATATAACCCATTACTTTTTTTTTGGATTAGCAGTGTTAATGTTAAGCATACACTAAGTAGTTCCCCACCTGTATTGAGTCTATGAAAAATATAGCTGGCAGTTACCAACCTCTCACATCTGTCCAAGGTCAAATAAATATCTTCCCTAGAATATTTGACATGGGGTAATTTTTAAATTATAGTTCCCTGAGGAGTTTACAGTCCACATCTTTAAAAGGCTATGAATATTTCCAGAAATTTGAACCTATATTAATGAGGGTGCAGGGTAAAAAGTAATGTGTTTCCCAAACTCTATCCAAGATAGGCTCTAAAACTTGTGAACCAAAGCCAAGAAATGTTTGAGGTCAGAAATGAACTGCTTACAAGACCTGTAATATAAAACTTGCAGTAGATCCTCTAAATAGTATGATTTAGTCACTACAGCAGGACTTATATAATTCTTAATCCCGGTTCTTATGCTTATGGGCAGTTCTTTGAAGAATACCAATGATGAACTGCTTAAGCACCAAGCAGCTTTCTGTTTAATACAATAATGATCTCATTGTATATCCTCTGTTCAGTTCGTGGGGATCAAAAGAAAGATCTCCTGGAGTTAGATCTCTATTGAAATATTCATACAAACAAGGGATAAATAAGCAAGAAAAGTGCAGGTCTTGCCTAAACACAGGCTGGTAGTTAGTGAGTTTATCTGCTACAGCTGGAATTCAATGCAGTTTGTAGTGCAGAATACCAGAGTAAGTGGTTTTATGAGAATTTAATGAGATCTAACTAAGTTGGGTCTATAAACAAAGTTAATGGGAGCTAATATCTCTGTGATTGTTTCATTAAGCACTCCTTTTCTGCTTCTTCAGTGCCTTTGTATGCCCTCCTTGGCCTCTCCATGCCATTAGATAATCTACCTAAGAGTACTCTTCTTCTTTATGATGCTCACAAATGAATGCTATTTATCTTTTTAAAAGTCGGTGTGCTTCCAGGACAGCTCTGTTTAGGATCACAAGCTATAGAGAACAGCAGAGAGCTGTTGTGATCTAGTAATGTTGCTATATTGGCCATATTAGGTCTTCTGTTCAAGTCTGAATCCATGAAAGTGGACTCCCGAGGTCTGAGTGAAGATTCTGGAAACCTCTTCTGTGTTATATTTCTCCAGACATATGTTGGATATATCACAATGAGAAGATGTAAGTAAGTCGTACTAGCTCTATTCCTACAAACTTAAACTAAATAGTTTGAGAAGAGACTCCCCCGAGGTATATCCACTTGCTGTGTAAAAACTTAGTTTGATAGTATATAGTTAATTGGTGCCTTATTGCTCAAAGTGTGTTTATACCAACCTCAGACCAAACCCAGATTGCCATATTGAAATAAAATGCAGTAGTTTGCAAAAAAAGACTGGGTTTTTAAAGAATTTTTAGCTCCTGCTTGTACTCCTCTGTATAACTACCTCTGTTCTCCATTTGTCAGTGAGTAAACCTGGGAGTCAGTGCTTTCTGAAGTATGAATTAGAAAATAGATTCACTTTGTTGTATTTAGATTCTGCAGTTTACAATCTGCAAGTGATTTAATATTGGAAATCTGAGCCGGCCTTTGACCAGGAAGCAAAGACAAAAAACAGCAACACACAGTTGTGTTTCTTAACCAATATCATGCTAAAAAACTCTCTGACAGGGCAGAGTAGCTGGTTCAGTCTTTCCAGCTACTGCATATATACATTTTGCATGAGATCTCACTCTGTGTGTCTTAGCCTTTCTGAATGAGCACTTTTCCTGTTTTCTGACATGTAAATATGCATCACATCCTTCAAAGCTGGTCTAGCTTGAAGATATACACGTCCCCTTCACATCTTGTCCTTTGAACGTTCATCTCCCATTCTATATCTTGATAATAGTGTGAAACTCTGTGCCTTGAAAAACTTTATTTGGGTGAAAATGAGTTTTAAATTTGTTCTCATTACTTTGAAATTCATATACGTACAACAGTATTGTTACAAACTAATTACTTGATTCAGAAATGTCTATATTATTATATATTGTCTATATTATATATACTGTATCTCCCAATACTAACTCAAGTATTATAGGAGATACATAAAAATCATTGAATTATGACTCCAAAAAGCAAAGGCTATAATATGGAAAATAATTAATTGTAAAACAATTCATTTTAAAGCTTATCAATATTAGAGAAAATTAAACACCATAAACAGATGAAGGCTCATTTTTTAAAATGAAATTAGAAACTGGAGAAGGCAGAGATTGAGAAACTGGCAAGAAATTTCTTAATCATGTGGAAATTCAGTCCTCTCTTGAACCAAAAGAATTTTTAAAAAGTCAAAAAACCAAAACAAAAAAAACCCCAAATCAAACCAAAAAATAATCCTATAAGTGGAGAGGGCAACATAAGTTTTACGAAGGTCAGCATCTCAAAAATATTTTAGTAGAAACTTTTAAGTTTTGTTTTATTTCAGAGGAACATGAAAAAATGAAAGCAATGGTATTTGAACCTTCTTTTAAAATTTATCTTATTTTTAAATCTCGTAAAATATCTCATTTGATTGCATTAATTCCTAGTGTCCTGTTTAAATGCAATCATCTCTGAAATAGAGTAAGATGATAACCAATATATTTCTGCAACACCAACAGACAGGAACAATAAATGCCCCAAAACTGGGACAGGGAAAAGGATCTGTTGGTGGAGGTATAACACAAGAAATATTAGTCCTGCTGACACTGACCATACAGATGACAAAGCAGATGAGTTCATTGGATCTTAGCAACATCACTGACAGCTGAGGGGCCTATGAAACTTGCCATAGCTATGTCCCTGGACTACTTGAGTTGGATGCAAAATTGTTTCTGTCAATGCAGAAGGTGAGAGCACAGCTCAGCTGACTATGGTTATAATCACTGCTTGAGAACTGTGCTGAATTGGTCCTCATTCCAGCTGTAGTCAGTGCAGTGAAGGATCAGGTTTCTGTGTATGCTAGGTTCATGGGGAGAGCATGTTTGAAGAAAAATGTTGACACAGGCTCAGGCTCATAACTCCAATTAAGTATAAATAAACAGCTACTGAGGATTTGGAACTGCTATTAGCAACCTAAAGAAAGTGTTCTTTAGCTCTTTAGTAAAGAAACTTTCTGAAACTTCTGATCAATTAAATTTTGGCAGAAGCCTCAGTTTGGTGAATATTTCCCCTGAACCAGTCCAGCTGAACTGAGCTAGATTTTATATGTAAGTGAAGCATTATATATATTATTTTAATGATTACCATAAAAACAGATATTTAAAAAAACCCTTTAAATTGAACTGTTAAAGACATATCATATTTCACTCAGTGCTCGACTGACAACTCATGAAATAATTTGAAATACATTCTGTGCCAAGCTCTGCATGCTACTTGAGTTTTATCAGCACATACCTGTAGATGTATGCTTTTTCCATAATAGCTTCCAAACGATCATTAAACTCAAAGAACGTGTTATGCTGAATGGAAAACAAATGAAAGTAATCCAATCACTATTTTTCAGTACAGAGGTTTTTTTTTGTAATAGTACTGGCATCAATTCACATACACATTTTGAAAATGGATTTTTCAGTAATCAAACTTTCTATGAAAATTAGTTCTGGCTAGGACAGGGTTAAATTTTAGAGTGGCTGGGAGGGGCATGGCTAGGACTCCATGTTATTCACCACCTCAGGTCATTCCTGAGAGTGGGATAAAGGGACTGTCTCTTCCAGGGAAGAAAGATGTTCCTTCCTGTTAAGAAAATCTAGCAGAGGGAGCTGTCTGGTATCTCTTGCTACTGGAGAGTTTTCCATGTGAATCACTGCTTTTCTTATACCCTCTGTCATTAGCAATGTTGCTGTTAGTGTTCGTTTTCTTGTGTCATTGTTGTTTCCAGTAAAATGTTCTTATCTCAACCTGTGATCATTGCCTTTTGTGCCTCCAGTTGAAGGGGGAGAGGGACCAACATATGGTTTTAGTGGGAGTACTAAATTGATGAATACTATTCCTAAACTATGACAAACATTTAACAAAAATGTGAACTGAAAAGCAAAGATAAATTTGAGTCAAGAGTTTTTCTGGGTATTGAGTGTTCTCTTAATCTGATAACCGAAATAACCTTGCTGTTTTGGTCAGAGTATTGCAGGAGAACAACATCTACTTTCCTCAAATATATATAATTGCTTGGGCAACCTGATCACAAAGAATTACATGCATTTTTTTCTCTTCCTGAAATTCCAGCAATTCTCCAGTAAGTATCAACAGCCACGTACTAGAGGGTACTCTGTGGTATCCATGCCAGCTGTATCGAATTCTTCCTGTTTAGTATTTGCAGTTGATCTTTAGTGATTGCATGTAATTTTTTTCTTTGCTTTTGTTCAACAGACAGCTGGTTGCCTAATACAAGGTACTATTTAACTTTTCATTCTTTCATGTTATTTTTTTCTAATTTACGGATTTTTTAAGTTTTATTGAATATTGAAGAACACCTTCATTTTGTCAGCTTCAAATGAAAACCAATTCTTTGTCAACATGTTGATTGTGTGCAAAGAAATGCATTTAGAGTGGCCTGATTGGTATTGTGTTCTAATCCCTTCTCAGACCTTTCATTACACAACTCCAAGAGTCTTTGGACACTTTAACAAAAGTAGGTTTGTGCTTGATAGGTATTCCGTGTTGAGATTTTGTCCTTAAGATTACCTCCTTTGCTTTTAAACACGTGACATAAGCAACAGAAGGAGAAAGTACATTGACATTAATTTGTGATTTCTTCTTAATCTTTGAAAACTAAGCTGGTAATTTGAGATTAATCTAATTTAAATAATGTGAAAAACCTAATCAAAATGACCTTTAATCAAAAATTCAGTTTGAAATTAGGAAATAATAAAGTCGGAAGAAAAATAAGAAAATGGCTTAATTTGGCTGGACTATGACTTGTATTTTTTGTTTATTTATTTAGTTATGTTGTACCTTAGCCTGAAGATATTTTTCAGTTTCTAAATTTCATATTCCTAAATATTATAAAAAAAATTCTGTTACATTGCAAAAACATCTAGGCATGGTTAACCATCCACCACTAACACAGATCTTACCTTTAGCATCCTGTTTGCACGAAGTGCTGGATTAAATCCAAAGAAGAAGTATAAAATGTCAAATGGAAACACTGATATCACATCAAGCTGTGGAAGAGCAGAGAGGTCAATTTAAGCTTCATAGTAATCATAATGTATTTATTTGCTGTCAAAAACCTGCTTAGACTGAATCATGACTGCAATAATATTTGAAGAGTCAGCATGCTAAGCATGCAGCTTCCTAAGTACTGGCAGGTAAGATTATCTCCTTAAAAACACCAGCAGCTTGGCTCTGCCCTGCTTTTGAGTCCCCTGTGCCTGAGATGTTAATCTGCTTCATGTGGATTATTAGCGGTATCTCGTATATTTGATTATTAATACATTCTGTTTTTTCTGTAGTTCTGACCAGACTAGAATGTTTGGCATGTGGCTGGTGAGTGCAGGTGGGAGACCGCTACACAAGCACTTCTTAAAAGTCCTTCAGCTTTTAAAACAAGGCTGCCTAAAGCGATTTGAGGGAGCACAGTGAATTAGATTTCTTGCTTGCAACCTGCAGAAGGCATGTGTTCCAAACAACAGATGCATCATAGGATGACAAATTTGGCTGGGATTTTTTTTGTTTGTTTGCTTGGTTAGTTGGTTTGGGTTTTTTTAAATAGATTTTTTTCTTCCATCATATTTGTATGCTGCTTCTTCCCATACCACTAAGATTTTCAACATCTCCCCGCAGTCCATCAACTATGTGATTACACTTCTTATCTGCATGCTTTATACTTTCCTAAGATAGAGAAGGAAAGCTGTGGCAAATTTATCTTTTCCTTTTTAAAGATCCTGGGATACCTTGCTTTGTTGCTATTGGGAGTAAGAGAGGGATGTGGAACTCTGCTCTTCAGCTCACTGTAATCAGAAATGTCTTTGCTCTAAGTGGTGTAAATTCAGTTGGCAGCAACCAGCCTGCAGCACTGACCTTTTATTCCATGCAAGTAAGAAGCAATTAATACCTGAACAGTGTGCAAAGCAAACCAGAAAATTGATTGAGAGAAACAGCCTCTTATGGTCTCTCTCGCTCCTGCTCTCAGACACATGTCTAAGAGGAGGGAAAATTTAGTCAAAAGTGCATTAATATCAGTAACTTCTAATTAGTGCTTATTCATGTGACAAATTCCCACATTGTATCTATATCTTGCATGTGGTGAGAACACTCAACTCTCATTAGTTTCTCCAGAAATCAAGAGCCCTAAACATACATCAAGTGTGCACTTAAAATAAAACCATACAAATCCACTTTGGTCTCTTGCTTTAAGTTTCACTCTGTAAAAACCCATTTGACTGTATGGTATATATCCTGCACTTTTGGATAGCTTAATATCAAGTATTTAAGTAATGATGCAACAGTCACTGAGAAAAAATTAACTCTGAACAAGGCAGGTGCAAAAGTAGAGGAGAGGGCAATAACTAAGATGTCTATGTAGTGTTACAGAGCTGTATGTTCATCAGGAATTCAATAAACTGCCTATTTTCCACTGGCAAAATAACCCCAACATTTAAGAACAACATTAACAACTTTCCTAAATCAAATGCATTTTTGTTTTTACAAAGTGCTGTGAGCATGAAAAATCTTAGTTTGAATTTTTGACTGCTCCTGTGAGTGATGAACTGTTCAGTGCAACGAGGTACTTCAAAAGAGGAGTTATCATCTCCCTTCAGGAGTTTTAATTGTCTTTAGTATGTGCTGGGGTGACCTCACAAAAATGAATCAAATTCTGTTTTATTAATTTATTATAATTCCAAATTAATACATAGAATTGCATTTATAAGTATTTTCTCTTCCAGTTAAAGACTGTTTATGAAGATGGCAGTTTTCAGCTGGTGAGCACTGATATGCCATTGAACCAATGCTTTCTGGTGATATTCTTAAACCAACAGTGATTGTCAAGGAATGAAAAAAAATCCTGTGAAATCATACAGCCAGAACTTGATATCGATATCAGTAGCACAGGCTCTACTTACCCGGAACTTCACAGAGCTGTGGTAGAATTTCTTGGTCTCCACTCTGTCTGACTACAATGATAATGAAAGGAGAAAAAGGCACAGTCAAGATCAGAATGACAAGGACAAGTCTCTGCTACTCCACAGTGTAGTAGGGGTGATGACAGTTAAATAAATGGTGGTCTAAAAGTATGAATGGAGAAATATCTATAGATATTTCTGAGAAGTAGTACTGTTATTAGTCTAGCTTACATTAGATCAAATTTTGTTAGAACTACTTGAAAAAATGAGAATTGGGTTGTCTGATTTTTTCCAATCTGGATGTTGGTCTAGAAAAGTACATTATATTTTTCCACAAAAATTCCCTCTCAAGACAGCTGTACCACTTCATGCTCAACCCAACCCCCTTCAATTTCATTGCAAAAAATGCATTTATCTGCTGTGATTCCAAGAAAAAAATTGAAGAGTGTTTCTAATGGTGCTATACAAAATTAGCTCTTTGAATGCTAACATTAACATGCTAGCATTACTAGCATTACAATAATCAACACTGCATTCATTAGTAATGATTAGCTTTTTATTTTTAAATTGTTATTCACGGGAAGTGATGCTATTATAATAAGAAAGGGTAATCACAAGTCTATAAAGAAATTTGTCTATTATTATACTTACTGTATTTATATCAGGAAATCTTTAAAAATAGCTTTAAGATCTTAATCATATTTCCAATTCCAACTTTCACTATTATCAGTTTAAACATTAAATTAAATGCAGGAAATCATTCAGGAGATGGTTTCTGTGCACTAAATCTGTAGTTGTAAAAGCAGCTTCAAGGGAAATACAAACTGAGCTTCGTATGTCACAGTTTTAATTTTGTCCATAACAATTGAGTTTTGAGGGATTTAGGCAAGATCCAGTTACTGAATGTCTTGGTGTGGAAAAATATATTCCATGGCACTGCATTTAATACCTGTTGAAAAGATGTTTGCACAGCTGGGTCTCTAAAGGTGTCAGTAATATTGTGTATGTACAATGTATAAAATCTTTTGTAAAAGCACTGAACTAAAACTAGTTTTGAGGATATATAATTTTGAATTTTCTGTCTGTTGGGTACAGTAATGTCATGCTGAAGTTACCAAGCCTTTTTTTTTTTCTGAATTAGGTATCTTTTCTCTATAAGATGTCAAAGAATCAAAAGCAGGGAAGACTTTAATGTTCCAGATACGCTTTGGTATGATAAGGGCAAGTTTTCAGATATTTATTTAAAATTTTATTTAACATTTTTGTATAAAAAGATAACACAAAAATTGTAGCAAGAATCAAATTTCAACATAATTATTTCCCCAAAAGAGATTATATTGAATTATTTTCAAAGTATCCTAAAATTGCAGGGATTTGCTCTGATTTTGGAAAAAAATAAAACCACCATCTCACAATCTGTTACAAAGCATGCATATCCTGTCCAACCCCAGCAGAATATGCCCTGTCATTAACTGTGATTCTGATACAAGGCAAATAGGTGAAAGTTTCACACAAACATACAAACAGATATATATGTGCACAAGTACATGTGATCACTGATTCCAGAGAGGAATCCGTTCAGAGCTGTATGCCTGTTTCAGCTGCTCTATCTGTTACTTTCAAATCAGTTTTTTTGCCATTTTTAAGAATGCGGGTAATGGATATGTTTCTTCCTACATAGAATAATGGAATGTCAGTGTAGAATGGAAGATCAGTGATGAAAAATATACGTATCCTTTGATAAATAAAAAAAGTTACATAGATTTGACATAGTGATAAAAAAGAAGTGTCAGATTGAATGAATATCTATACTCTAACACACAACTACTGCCCATGGAAGTCCCACTTCCAATACTTACTATTATATCTCCCCCTTGGATAAACCGCACTCGGGGCTGGAAAATGATTACATCGCACAGGTAGCAGATGTCACACATTACATCAATGACAAACCAATATATTGTGTTACTGGGCGTTTGGTAGGGGAACACATAGCGCAGGGGAATAAACCAGCAGTTCCAGTTATAGGCGATTGTCACAAGCATGAGCCATGCCACGTAACGGCGATCTGGAAGAAAAAACATCCAATGTGGAGGCGTCAACTTTGGAGCCTGCTGTCATTATTTTAGACACACTCATTGTGCTGCAGTCTCTGGGAATGCTTCAGCCCAGACCAATCTCCCTTTTGCAGCTGGAATGCTGCTAAAGTGATATAGCTTGGAAATAGGAGTCACACAAGGAATTTGCAAAAATGAGAGCATATAGAATTCAGTGCATCTGAAGAAACTTATATGATGATTTTGCGTCCTGCTCATGTATATTATGGCTGACAAAACAATTATTTGTCCCTAATGAGTGGTACAAATTCCAGATCAAGGTTCTAATTCTGGTCAGTTTGCATTAGACCTCTGTGCATACCATCTTTACAACTGATGTCACTTTTCCCTGTTTGGAATGAATGTTGTTTAGGACAGGACTTCTGTGTCCCTGGGAGTTACAAACTGGAATGTGTATTTTTTAGTGGTTCACAAGTGCTATGTAATACCAGATCACTTCAGTATGACTTTACCCCATTCATACCCCATTCATACCCCAGCCATACACGGCTTTAAATTTACCTGTATATGAGTCAATGGTATCTGGTAGCTTCATATAGTCCATATATTTTTTCAGTGGAGGTTTTTTGAATTTACAGCACAGCATATCACAGTAATGATCCTCCTCTGGCTTTGCTTCTGCCTCCTCTTTCTTTTCTTCTTTTTTTTCATCTTTTTTTTCTTCTTTTGGTGGAGGCTTCTTTGGTGCTGGACACATAGATAACCAAAAACACTGGCATTTTAATAATGGCTCAATTAATTCACCCTGTTTTAACATAAACGAAAGCTTAATAATGTTAAAAAGTCCTCTAAAAACACTGGGCAGTAACTAAATTAATTATATTGAAGGCATAGAAAAACACTTGAAAATTAAAATCACCATTAGTATAAACATGTGCATCTGCTGTCATGAGCAGGGAACTTATGTTACAGGGTGCAATATCTATATTGGTGAATTTCCCTGGACAGTGCCTACAAGTTATGCCTTTTATAAGACTGACAGGAAAATTTTTAATTCATAAGATAGCATTCATTAATGCAACTGAGCATTTCTCTTTACATGACTGTTGCAAAGAATGAATGCAGTGAGGATGGAGATAAGGAAGGACAGCTGTGCCGTGGGCTGATCTCTCCCCTCTCCTGAGACCTGATATGCAAGATGCAGCAGGTGAAACTAGTGGGAAGCCTATGGTTTTTAAGTTTCTAGGCTTCAAAAAGTCTTGTAGGACTCCTTCTTTGAACCAGTTCTTCCATCTTTAAGCTGGATAATATTTGCACACGTCCTATTAATTCTGGTGGCTTTACATCTGATTAGGATACTCAGTCTTAGCAGTAAACTGACAAACTGGATATATAATAAGTTAGGAAATAAAGGTCATAAGTTCTATGGAGAGAACAAAAGAGGTAGATCAGCAAATTTAAAAAAAATTAAAAATTAATTAATCAGTTGGTATAGTTTATTATTCATCAGGCACCATTTTTACAGCTTTTTAAAAAACACATACGCAATGAGCAGCTTCTAAAAAGTGCCAAAACATAAACCCACCACACTCAATTCTTTGTGGAAAGAAAAGGAAAGTCAAACTTTCCTCTGAAGAGGAGAAAAATTGATTTATGTTTCATATTTTGTCAAAAGTCAATGATTAATTAATGTCAGATGAGTTTGCTCCATTTAAAGCATGGACTTAAAGTCTTCGATGCATCCAGATTTCTGTCAAGGCTAAAATGTTATTTACTTTATTTACACAGAAAATCTCATATCAAAGTGACTAACATCCACTCATAAAATATATATGTTTCTTCATATGTTTCAGATTCATCTCCCTGAATAAGCATCTCTGTGAGCTAGTTCAAAATACAGAAAACTTCTTGACACAAATGATTCTAGATACTGCCTCTACAAGGTTTTTCCCCAAATTCTTCAGTGATGTCATTCAAACAGAGGTTTTACCTAAGGACTCTGGCATACTGTAGAGAAATAGGGATAAATTGACTTCATAGGCCACAAAGTGATCCTTCTCAGTGGATAAACACACTATGCTTAAAAAATAATTATCACAGTATTTTCTGTTACCACAAAATTATTTTCAGTTTTAAACTGAACAAATACACAGCTATTTCTAGAGGAACTTACAAACTGGAGGACTTGCTTCAGGTGAAGATATTACTGGATCATTCAGCTTTTCCTTATACACATTTGCCCTTTCACGAAGTTTTTTGACAATCTCTTGAAGCTGGGCCTCAGTGTACTCATTTGTTTGGAAACCCGGACGCATTGGCTTCTGTGCACTAATTAAAACAAAAGGGGGAAAAAGGCTAAATGTACTGGAAATCAGTGGTAATTCTATTTCTGCGCTGAAGTCAGACATTAAGATTTGATCTTCATTGAGCACAGTGCTTATTCATATCACTTAATTCATGCTAAGTGGAAACCTAAGTTACCTACTCTTGCCTCCTGCTCATGTCAGCAGCAGTCTCAAGCAGAGAAAGTCAGGGCACCCTGTTTAGCCTACTGCACCAATGGCTTCCCTCTGCTGCTTTTCACCAAGTTCTACTGTGCCTATGTAAGGCCTACAGCTTCCCTGTCATATTCACTCAGTTACAAGGCATCCATTTCACATCTGTGTATGAAAATGTGCTCGTTGGTATATGGCAATATCCTAATGATGACAGGAAATGCAGGTGGAGGAGGAGGGAGTTATGCTTACTTTACCCTTTTTAATTTTGGGATAATTGATTTAATCTATTTTTTTATGGTTTGTTATGGCTAACATGAAGCAAAAAAAAAATTGCATCTGTTTTCAGTGGAAACAAAACACTGATCTTCTTGGTGAGGTTTCTTCTTTTTCTGCTAAGAGTTTCCTCAGGGTCATAGTAACACTAAGCTAATATTCCAGCACTCACAGCATTTGTTCAAACCTGAGAACTATTGATTTTCAAGCACCTGCAAACTCATACTCAGCTCTGAAATGAATGTTTTCATTAGGTTTTATGCATGCTGGAGAGTAAAATAGAAAATCTAGGTGAAAGTGATTCTTGATCAACTCCTCTGTGCTTATTCTTACTTGAAATTTCATCCTCGATTACTTGCTACTGTCTGATTCTGCAGACTGAGGTTGTTTTTGAGTGCAACTGAGCTGGAAACTGGGCCACACATTTGGACCTCCTCTATGTAAAGAGACCACGACGTGGCTTTTTTTTTTCTATATCCTTGAGTCAGCACTTCTCAGCTGATGTGATGCATGGATATCAGAGATGGCTGGAAACGCCTGCGACTGGCACAGGGCTGCTCAAAGTCTCCTCCCAGACAGGTCACAATTGCCACCCCTGTACTGAAAATCCTGAAAGCTATGCCCAGTATAGGGGCTACAGCAGGTAATTGTTCTTTCTTTCTTTACCAGTTTTCAAATCTGTCCCAAGTACCATAGGGATGTGGCTACAGCAAGAGTAGTGGCAGACCAAAAATGACAGATGCTTGAAATGTCTGGATACTTGAGAAAAATCTTCCCAAATGTGAGTAGGGGGGAAAATGGTATGACAGTACCTTGGGTAGGGAAGACATGAACACCACTGCAAAGTGATCTTTGAATAAACACCGTGTCTCCTCAAGACCTAAACCTACTTTGAAATTTCTAACAGAAGGAGCTGTAGCTAAAAAAGGAGAGTGTCACAGTGGGATGTGTGTAGTTTTTTGAGAAGCAGTTTTCTTGAGACTCAACAAAAATCACAGTGCCCAAAGAAGTATAATTTAAGCATGTGAAAATCTTTCAGCAATAAAACCATTGGAAAAAGTGGAGATATGCTGTTAGAAGCAGCAATAGAAACAAAAGTTTGGAAGTATATGCTTGTCATTCCTCTAATTTAAGATATTAAAACCTGATGTTAAAACATGATATTTTAGCTTGTATCTATTCAGCAACATCCAAATAGTCTGGCCTACAGGTTGTAAGATGATGTTAAAACTCCTCAGACAGGAGATTAATCAAAACAGTTCTGATACATTTTGTAATCTCATCACAATTCCTTTTGTGTCACATTGTTCCTTTGCTCAGGCCATCTGCAATGTAATGACATCCTTTCTTGTTTTGAGCTAACATCTCACAATTAGTTTTTTGCTTCTATGCAAAGAATGTAAAATAGTTCTTAGTCTTTGCTCTTGCTGTATTTGCTCAGGTCATTAGCTTTCTTACCACAAGTGTCATGCCAAAGGCCCCTTCAATCTTTCTAGGAATAAGCTACAAATTGCTTAGGATTTTCCTCTTATTTCACAGATTTTCCAACAAAAGTTAGTCTCCTCTACCGTGAATTTGATGCAATGTAGTGCAGAGGAGCCATGTTTCCATTTGGTACTGATTAGAATCTATGTGACTTAGTTTAAAGTTATTTGCCCCACAGTTGATGAGAAATTGATTTTCCTTGTCCTACTTCTCATTTGGCTTGCATTACCTCCTGCTCCATTATTTTCTTGTAACGAAATGCTTACTTTAAATTTTTTTTGGTTAATACAGATGGAAGAAGCTGCATGTTGAACACTACTAATTTGAGGATGTTTATTGTAGATGTACTTTCTATAGGGGTGCACTTTAAATTGCCTGGGCTAATGAAGCCTATTTAAACTTCACTAAATCGCTTTTATTTAAACTTGACTCCTTCTCTTGCATCCAAGTGTGCTAGGATTTTGTTCTAAGCTGTTATTCTTTAAGAATGCTTTTTCTTTAAGCAATTTATCTCTAACTTTCATGCAGCATGCTACAATAGGCTTGGTCTATACTTAGTCTCCATGTAGTCCTTTACAGAGTGAAAATGTTTATTCCCTGTGCAAGTAATTTCATATGGCCTAGGAAATGAATATCTGGACAGTCATTCATGTACTATGCACACAGTCCTGTTAATACCTCAAACATACTTTGTTTAATGATAGAAATATATGTAACATGAGAAGTATAAGAATAATGTAGTTTTCTGATATTTTTCATTTGTAGATTTTATTTTTATAACTTGTAGATTTAAACTTGTTTGTTTAGTGATAAAATTGCAGCGCCTTTATTCTACCCAAGCCACAAGAGAAGATTTAGACACCTATAGCATAGTTAAAGAAAATCACCTTGAAATAGGTCATGGAAATACTGTATTGAATATATTAATGTATGCAACAGCTGTTAAGTACTGTGGCTTGAAAGTTTTCTGTGTTAAGAGTTCAAAGAGTGATTAGAAATGCAAGGTTATTGCAGAAGGCTTACCCTTTTCTAAGTTGCAGTCTACAGTTTTAATTCCTCCCTGTTTCTGGCCATGAACATCGAATACCTGAGTTCAATTTCAAGTTTTATCTGCCAGGTGACCCCTGAGAAAATGTATTTCATAAATGTAGGCTGCCTGGAAAATATCCATAACACTTTTTGCTGATTTCAGTTATAACCCTATTTTTTTTCCAGCACTCAAGAAATTTTCTGCTAATTACGTGGAAATTGAGTTCTTGGTCTTGCAATAGAGCTTTCAATGCTTTTATCGAGCTCTGATGTGATTTATTATTGCATTTACAATCTGTGTCTTGAAAAAAATAATTTGTCTTTTCTGAATAAATTATGGAGAATCTCTAATTCAGATAATCAATTTTCAGAAAGCATGATGGCATAGATGGCATAGATGAGAAAGATTTCAGAGAGACAAAAAAATGTAATTCCAGGCATCATGAAATGTATTGATTCAAAAACACATCCTCAATATCCTCAATTTTTGCTGACTGTCTCAGTGTGAGTAATGCCATACAAGCCTCGAGTTCCAAGCTTAAGATCAGTCATCCTAAATTATTAGGAAAACTAGTAATAGAAAAAATCCAACATGTTAGTCACTTACTTCGTACAACAAGAGACTTGCTGAATACAGCAAGAGAGATATTCCAAAAAGCTAAGTTTCACTATTTTTATTATACTGCTTTTATAGTCCAAAGAAGGCTTCCCTGAGGAGAGGTTCAGAATGACTGAGATAGGTTTCTGCTCTGAATTGCCTGTGAAGAGAGACCATTTTTCTCCTTTATCTGCACAGGATGCTGTCGGGGTTTTAGGAGTGAGCTTTAATATTCTCCTTCATTATTTTGGTACAAAATGTAATAGTGTATACTAATGATGTTTAATAGGGCATGGGATTTGGAAGATTAAAAAGTAGTAATGATTCCTATGCAGGAAAATTTGAATTATTTAGTCCAAGTAATAGAAATGAGGACAAATCTAATGCTCCATACTGCAGACACGTACTTAGAATCAAATTATAAGAATTTCTTTTGTAAATTCTAGGATCATCAGTTGCAGGTGACAAAAGGATAAATGTCCAAGTGTTTAGTCAAAGGGAAGTTGCCTATAAGCTATACATTATCCGGCTATGAAAATCACTGGTGCAAATGTAACTGTAGAACACATATGAAGTACTGCTAGGGAAATTAGCATTAATATTGGGATATAGGCCAATGTGAGAATTATTCTGACCAGCTATACTCAAAAGGTGCATTCCCATAGGGGAATCTAGAAAGTCTTGTAGAATGGCCATGGCTACTGGGAACATAACTGAAAAGGACAAAAACCAGTTTGAGACATAATAAGATTTTTGTCTATAAGATCAAATTTTGGTGGAGAACCGTGGGACAATAAGTATTTGAGCTGAGAAAAAGTATTGTGAGATGAATAAATATGAAAAGAGGCACAATGAATTATCTTGAGTTAAATGTCTGAAGAAAGTTCCCAAGCCTTTAAGACCAGAATTCTAGACAGCTTTTGCTATGAGTGAGAAGTAGTTGACACAAGTGTAATAGACTTCAAGATTATACTAGCTAAGATCATGAGTAATGTTGTAGGCTATGATTCCCAAGAAAGCAAAAGAATGTATGCAGCAGGACAGGATAATCCTCTTCAGCAAATAAAATTGAAATATATAAAAGTTTAGGAAGTGGATAAGTGACTTAACTTGTATATTTACCAATAACTTCTTCCAAAAATCTTAACAGTTCAAGTGCAAAGAGAGTAAGTTTCTAAGATAAATGTATTAAAGTCTTGGAGCTGTTCACACATTAGATTCCATGGACTTTCAAAGGGCTCTTAATTAAATTTTAATTTTCCTTAACAGTCTTGAAACAAGTGTCTTCCTCTGACCCATCATCTTTTTCCTTTAATCACAAAATCGTCAAAATTGGAAGAGAACTTCAAGATCAACTAGTCCAACGGTCAACCCAGCACCATCCTGATTATCCCTAAACCAAGTGTTTCATCCAGATGTTTGTCTGGTCAATTTATTCCAATGCCTTTCCACTCTTTCAGTGGTGATTTTTTTCCTAATAGCTAATCTGAACTGCCCCTAGCAAGGGAAAGTTTCTGATAGTGACCCATCTTTATGGATACAGAAAATTATGTCCTTTTCTATTTGCTGTATTCTCGAAAAATTGGTATTATACTGACTTTTCAACAAAACAGAACA